TGTGTTTACAAGACAGCAAAACCACGTGTGAACTTAAAAAACAAGTCCAATGACAAGGTCAAAGAACGGTTTATGATCAGGTCCAAAACAAGGTGGTACAGGCGCAAAACCAAAATAACAAAAAAGGGGGAATCGCGTTGTGCAACATGAAAATAGAAGAAAGGAGTCAACACCCTGACCGATATGACTGTGCCATGCAGCTGATAGCCGTCTTACATCAGCGCTGTCCCCTTCAGAAAGTAGCTGTCACTACCACACCGGACAAACAAAATCATTCGATGTCAGTGACGTGATTAGGCCATCTTCTCCAACGCATGACTGTCACTCCCTCTCGTTTCTCTCGGTTAATGAAGCTATCGTGGCTAGAACCAATGCTTTTCGGTGCATGATTCGTGAGCTAAAGAAGAATTTATAAATACTAGTCAGAAAGCCTTTGCTCTTGCGACGATTCCCTTCACTTTCTGGTGATAATCATGAGAAGGTTTTACCGTTGATCACGAAGTTTAGAGTGCATTGTCCAGAAATTGCCCCCAAGCCAGAGATATATTCTTCATCCTGAGAGTGTAGTGCGCTCTTAAGTAGAGGTTCTTCATTGTCATTACAATAGAGATTTATGGTAAAATTCACAAAAAACCAAACAGCGCCGGAGGAGTATTTTATAAACGGACTTTCTAGTGTTGCAGTCACGGCTGTCTGATCCAACTGCTTCAATTTGTCTGCTGAGTATTCATCACTCTAATGACGTTTCCGCCGCCCCGTGATGGTTGCCTGAAGTTTCAGATGAAGCATTACAATCCCCAGCTGGTTTCAGTCAAATACTTCGGATGTCTCGGAAGACGAACAGGATGTACTTCACTCTGAGGATGGGGGTGGAGGAAGGAATCACTTTTGCTTATACATATGTTGCTGCATTCTGAGAGACTTACCTCAATAACCGTATGCAACAGTAGGCATTTTTCAGATCGAAAGAAGAGTAGTTTCCCAAAGGGGTCACTGAACGTTGTATGTGCTTACTGGATGCACTTCTATTGTTTGTAGGTTGTGCTTGCAAAGGCAGGATTGAAAACGACCAAAATACGTGGTGTGACTCGGAAGTATAATGTCTTGTTGACCCAAGAAGTATTTGGAAATAGGAGCAGATAAGACTGACTCAGATCAGTAGTAAAAGGAGCAAGATATACCAAACAGACGTCTCTCCAAAGGGAGGACCCAAAGCTGCCCCTTTTCAGTCATGATCCAGTGCTACATTTCTCCATGGAGAAGCTACTTTCATGGAAGGCTAATCGGTACTCCCCCTTGAGGTCTGCCCTAAGGGATGACTGTACGCTGAAACAACGACGTTTCACTTAGCCCACAGATGTATGGTCTTTCCAGAGCACGTTTATGAAGAAACCGGAATTTGGTTTCATAGTAGGTAAGCTTGTTCCTGGCAAGACTTGCGTTGTGGTAAGCCCAGAGAGGGGTACCTCCAAAGAGACCTAAGAGCCACCTTTCTCGTGGCGTCCTGTTATCCTACACTCCTCACAGGTGTTTCGGCTAGGTCACTTGGTTACGGTAGAATATCGCTTTCCGATAAAATCTCTCTCGATAAGAATTCTAGCAGGAGAGAGAAAAAATACCCGGTAATTATTCTTCATGCAGTTAAATACCCCTAGAATAATTCTTTCGAAGAAAAGAACATTCAACATATGATGTGTCACTGTTGCTTATTGTGGGTTTCTTTGCTCGTCCAGGTTGCTCAAGGCTAACACACGATTCGAATGACCACAAAAAGCTTGCTGTTCAGCCGGTAACAATAATTCAAGGGTTTGTGACTAGTTTAATCGAGCTTTGTACAGCAAATGAAAGCAGCATGCTTATCCTACCAAGTACAGATTCAGAACCGATCAGTAAAGTGCTTTATTGAAGACCTAACCACTCCTTAGATCACACTCCGTCTTGAAACGAAATCCTTAGAATCCTAATACGCTTCGGTTGCATGCCACTGGTAAGCCAGTTACGAGTTTGCTCTTGAGGATTCAAACTTGCTAAGTTTTGATGACTTTAGTTCACCTGCACAAGTAGGTTTAGCGGAGCAACTGGTAGTCAGCCCTGGTCAACAAACGAGAGCCTGGATTCCAAATAAATCTATCATTTGGGCGCCGGTATCACTTGCAATAGCATCAACAAAGAAATGTATCAAGAAGTTGACAGTGAAGATTCAATGACCCGACCTGACGGGCACTTATAGCAGCCGTCATTGTTATTTAATGAGTACACTCGCTCGCATTCACCTCATCCTGTACATAAGTCCTGTGCGAATCCATCGAAGAAATGATACACTTGGAAAATAAACAATTCTGGATAGACTGTCAAGTGTTCTAGAAAGAAATCGTTCACCTATACCACACTTACGGCACATAGCTGCCACATTAGCTGAAGGAAACGCGAGGATTGTGATAATGACAGATTGCCAAAGCCCAGACAGGAGCAGTCGAGGTGTCGAGGTTAGGTTCGAAACATGGACGCGTAGTGCTGATATTGATCACATCTCTTGGTTGTTTGTCTCATCTGACCTTTTTCATTCGCATCATTCGAACAGCTTGATTGTCGGTTTGATTACCAACGCTCTTCTTATTGAAAGGTTCTATTGGATATGATTGGGCTTCCCGGAAGACCATTTTGGTACAGAGGGTCGCGGGCTTTTACGTCCTCCAACGCATTGTAAGTTCACAAATTGGAAGATTATTCTTATACGCAATTTTACCCATAAATAAGACATTACAAGCATTCCGGAAGTTTTTGATTCTTCACAAGTTATCCTAGGGATGCAAACAAAAAAGAGAAGCATAAATTCTGGGGACATGGTGAACGAACTACCACTCACCTAACATACCACTAAGAAAGTTGGAACAGGTGGCGCTAATATGAATGTCAAACAATTGGAAATTTCTTGAAAGTTGGTAGAATAAACAAGGGTGGATGTCTTAGAATCGTGTGGTTCCGGAGAGGGCACATCTGCCTAAAAGGAATGGCCGGTACTCAAGAGTGGTCTGAATGCAAAGAGAAAAAAAGATGGATCGGAAAAGCACCTATTATGGTAGTATTATTAGTAAAAGTAGGATTAGTAGTAACTTGACTGAGTGAAGATTTACGGTCCCAACAAAAGTAGGAATCATTCTTTGACCTGGCTGACAGGCGATTATTGTCTTGTGCTAAGCAAACTGCGCTGTTCGCAGAACTAGAAAAATAGCTTTCTGGTCAGTCGAGTGTGATTACCGAAACTAGGTCGCGTGCATCTATACCTAGCCTGTAGATACAGTTCCACCTGTCTCCGACTACCTAGTTCCGCCAAACCTTGGATCCAGTACTAAAGGCTCAGTCACCGGTGTTGGCCTTTCTAACCCTTGCACAAGAGCCATAATCTGGCCCTTTGTCATAAAAGCATTTTCTGCCCCCCCCTGGATCACCACATATCCAGGATACTTCCACGCATTTTGAAACCCATCTCAGGACACATCATCAGTAGGCTCATCGTGTGCCGATCAACTAGAAGCAGATTCATCGGATCAACTAAGCCGCCATCCAGACCTTACCCACCAGAGGTGGAAAGGTGCCACATCTGCTTTGCTCGGTGAACCATACAAAAAGCTACCAAAGGACAACAGCGGCTTGCCTCAGGGCAGCGAGCAACAGTTGACATAAGTGTCCTCTGTTTCAGTATATTTCAACTCATTTTTACTGACTGAGAGTTGTCCAGTACAGTGCACCGTCGGAGTCAGTTTGGTTCCAAAGCTTCCAAATCCAACTTCATCGGACCAAGTGAGAACAATTTCCATGTTATCTAGACTTTCTTAAAGTGCCAGTCTACCTTCCAACACTGCACCGGCTTGGTATGGAGACCTTTAAAGTCAAAACACAGCGTGGTGGAGTAAGATGCTATCATCCGAAGTCTCGATTACCGTAGACAACGTTTTCCTACAATCAGTTGAATACGAGTCAAGTGCAGCGTCATTTGGACCCGCTGTCATGTCTGATTGGTGTGTTTCTGAGATCAGTTGGTAGTCAGATGATGTGTGTTAGCTCTGCGTGCGTGATTGTGTGTGCATTTGGATTAGGATGTGCTCCCGTTTGTTGTTGTGTTGGCTGCTATGCCTCTCATTGTTGAGATCTTCGCTTGACGTCTGGCTGCTGTGATACTACCAATAAGGTGTGCAGTAATTCCAAGCCAGATAGACAGGATGGTTGACACACTTCAGCATACGCTTGTTTCAAGTGTGACTTCAATCCTGACTGGACTATACGTGCAATTCCAAGCCAGATAGACAGGATGGTTGACACACTTCAGCATACGCTTGTTTCAAGTGTGACTTCAATCCTGACTGGACTATACGTGCACCATCAAAGTTGATTTGATGGCTTGACTCAAGCGAGTGGAGTGCAACGGCTGAGTAGCGTTCGAGTTTTTTGAACGATCACGACAGGGCGCTGGCAAAACGTGGGGACTTGGTTAGAAGGCCGTCAGTGTCTACTCACCTGCTTAGATTTTACCAGAGGAGCCAAGGACCGGTTATCACACCCGTAAAACGAGTCACTTGTAGGGCGGTGGCACCTAAAATGTTACACACATGAGTTGGTCGGCGAGGTTTGGCCCAGAAGTTTGTGCGACATGAGGCTAATAGAAATGCGGTGGTGTTTACGAAGGTCGAAAGCAATCCACGCTTGGGAATAGGGAGGAAGTATACATTTTTGCAGGCATAACGAAGGTCGCAGGGGCTACTGAGGAGCCTGGCGTCCGAGCAAAGAGGATGAACCAGTATTCGGACCAGGCAATTCCGGTGTGGTAAGGGAACGATGACTGCCCAACAGTTCTTGTCATGGGCTGATTGGAGTAATTTTGATGAGGGTTGGAATGTAACCGGGTGCAGAAGCTGAGAAGGAGATGGATGGATTGGGGACCCATACAATAGGTTCTGTTTACTCACCCAAAAGTGAAACCTTACTAGGAGGGAAGACTTACTTTGTCTCGATTTGTCCTCTGGAGTGAGGACTGTGGATGCAAATGGTTTGTCAAAACTCAGGATATTACCACCGGTATATGGTGGTGTGGGGGTGTGTTGAGAGGGGAGAGATTCTTCATCTACACAGTAGTGACCGCCTGAAATATTTGGTTATGGCTAGAGTAAGTGCTTACTAGTTGGGTGGTAGACAGAAATTGGCGTCTACCTACGTTGTCACCCAAAATCTTTTACTTTAAGAACACTAATCTGGAGTTAGTGTGTGTATGGTTGAAGCAAAACGCTGGTCTCGATGTAATTTGGCTGAGGGATGAACACTGTTAGTAATTAAACCACATCAAATTACAAACACATCAGTTTCCATTGAAATGATTGCTTTACAGCGAATTTTTCTTGATGGGCAGCTGGAGTGGACCAAAGGTGATGACGGTGTAGCAGAGACTTAGTTGGTGGATCAGTTAAACCGTACATTTCCAACAAGTGATTTTGCATAGCGTGGCTCTGAAGCTATGACAATGACGTGCAAATTGAGTCTGCACGCTCACGATTGTCCGGCTCCTGGTAGATTGGCATCCTAACACGGCAGTTTTCGGCTTTTCAGTATAGATTTATCATTTGTTTGACCACGGATAACTAAGGATAGTTCAGTCCGTAACCATATATTTTATATTTCATTTATATTTTATTTATATTGGTTCATTTGAAGAGTTCATGAGTGGACATAGATTGTGTACTCAAAACTTCCGGGTTCAAACAGCGTATAACAAGATACCTTACTTTCACCAGTAGTATGTTCATCCTCAAGGAAAAATATCATAGTGTTCTGTTTAACCCAATTCAGCTGATGCACTTGAAGTTGGGTTACTTTTCATTCGCATCATCTGTCCATACACAGTATTCACGGACCGTAGAGATGATATGGTTATCCAACCAGTTTAGGCATTCGCGGGGTGTCTGACGGCCAGATTCTGTTCCAAAACTTACAACAGACCATTGTGGATCAGGTTTTCCGGCAAGGATTGTCCCTGGATAATAGTGTCCTACGGAATCTGTGGAGGTCGCTTCGTAGCCTACCATCAATATGAAAGGGACTGTTGTGAAGGGACTTTGTGAATAGTGGTAGTCCTTACGGAGGAGCCACGAAACTTTGTGAAAACTCATAAGATTTATGAAAAACCAAAGAAGTGAGAGCTTCACAAGTGTAGAAGAGGTGGCGACGCAATCCACCTTGTAGGGTTAACTCTTCCGTGTACAGAGAAAATCTCTTCTAGTTGCACCGTGCCATGATGGGAGAAGGTGAGGTTTTTCACGGATTTCACAAAAATTCAAGCTGTGTCCTCAGTTAAACTGCTGGTGGTTCTGCTGGGTAAAGAGATAGACGGCACCATGATGAGTGACTTGTCTTGGGTTGTCCACTGGAAAGAGATCGAGAGAATATTCTTAACTCAGGTTGTACTGATGCCTGTTGGTTCGTTCGTTGAGCTGGACAGTTTAGTTGTAAACTTTTCATCACCAGTAGGGGGTATATCATCAGTGGGTTATAAATGGAAGTGCGTTGTGAGTAAAAGTACAAAGTTGCTGTGCTTGCGTAGGCTGATATAGGGACTTCTTGGTCGATCATTGGTCGCTGGAGTGAGTATTAATGTCACCTTGTTGGTTCACCTGTCACATAAATGACGAGTGCCAAGGTGGCGTTGAGAATTGACCTCTCCGGTCTATCGATCGTGAATTTTGTCCACTTGCCTCCTATCTCTTGATCCCTTGGTTTAATGGCCGGACCTGACCCAGTGTTACTATTGCGTTGACTTTCCCTGCTGGTAGCACTACTTAGACAAAATCGACTTCGACGCGACGATTGATTGAATCCTTTTGGAAGAACCATGCTTTCGGGAATTCCCTCCCGTGTCTTGTACTTCTACTTTCCATGATCTTCATTTTTCAGGATTAAACATATGCCATCCCAAGACTTCATGTATGCGAATAAGAGGAACTGGGTTGTCTTCGGAGAGTTGCGTTGTTCCTTTACCCATGTAGGAAGTTTTCTTCCAATCTGTCCAATGTAATATTTGTCGCAGTCCGCGAAGTTGATTCGGTGCGAGACCTTGTTTCTTGCGCCTTTGGTCATGAGATCAGTTTTCTTGATGTACCGGCTGAATTTAGGGCTATTATGATTCCTTCCAGTTGTAGTGATCATGCTGTGAATTAAGTTATGCCCTTGATATACGAAAGAAATATCCGTTTCCTCGGTTGGTCATGCTGTTGATTTTGCTGTCACGGATTCATGATAGCTATTGTTTTGAAACACGCGCTACAGGCATGTTTGAATTTTTATGTACTGCAGTGCTTCTCTGTTCTCCTGAACAAGATTTGAGTGGAACTGTTCTTGTGGTTCACCAGATGGTTGCTGTGGTGACCTGGTATTTGTATCTTCCACCGATGCACACATATTCGAAGATTTCCGTCCACTTTTCCGCCCACCAACAAATCCATAAATGGTATTCCGTTATTCGTTTCAGTATCAATTGTATATCTTCAAATACCGTGTTGAGCACTTCATGCGCACTTCCTACCACATCCCGTTGAATATTAACTACAGTATCATCCACAAAACCTATCTAGAGCTTCGGTCGAATGACCGGCAGCATAATATGTTCTGGTTTCCGTATTACTGTTCTGGCGATAGATCCATTGCAGTCTCTTGTTCACGGGATGTTTTTCTCGGTTAAAAAAGGGCTTTTAGGAAACGTCGGCCACATTCACATGATGCAGATAGTCAAAGAAACTATACTATTTACGTCACACTGCCGTCACACTTCAGGCGCTCTACGCCAAAATATATAGCTCTAGGAAACTAGTGTAAAACCGTCCCAGCTGTATCCTGTTCAGTGGTATTGATCACCAACCGGTGTGAGTTAGTGGTGAGAGCTCACTCAATTACCTTAAGTATTGAACCCAAAATATGCCCTGTGTCTGAGCTATCACACTAGCTTTTAATTAGCTAGTGTCCCGTCAAATCACACTGCTCGGGGTTGAGACCCGATATGCAGTGTCCAAACTACTATTGTAACAAAACCATCATGATTAGAACACGTGTTAATTTAGTACCAATTTAGTACGATACAGCTGAGATTACACTATCTCCACGAATACACTCGTTTGCATATCAGTTTGATTTTGGCGAACCTGGCTAAATCTCTCATTTGTGAGGTTCTCAAGAGATTACACTACATAAAGTCCTGACCCGTTGAATACACGTAAGTTTCCTCAAGTCAAAAGTGCTAAAATCATAGTGCATGGAATTGTCAACTGAAGGACAACTTACCCAGTACTAAATATTCCAGGACTACCAAACTATTTCGTTGTTGAATGAGACTCATCTTTTGCTTGAGAGGGCTCAGCAAATTCCGCCTGAAAACTATGTAGAGAATTAGGTGGAAACAGTGTATTCGCTGTGTGAGCCTAGACGTTTATCTGGACTTACCAATGATCAGCAGGGTTTATTTGACGGTAGCTGAGCCCTTAAATTTTCTATTCAGAGTGGCTATCAGAAACCGTTTGAAATGATATTTTTGTCAGGACCTAATTTCGCTATGTACATTTTTAGAGTTCCTACTCTCGGTGTGCCTTATACAAGTGCTCAGACTCGAACCTGCACAGTATTCACTGGCTACGACCTAATCGCTCCGGTGCCCTGCGATTACCGGGCACTTCCATGGTGCCAGATCAGCGTCTTTGGAGTGGGTGAGGCCCAGAGGAGGCACCCAAGTCAGTGGGTTCAGAAACCTATCATGGAATGGATGTACGACAAAGAAAACCAAACTGCAATCCAAGAACATGCAGAGAACCACTGAGGATGGTCACTGATTTATGACTGAAGATAGTGAAGACCAAATATTGACAGTGATATGGTACAGTTTTTCTGCTAGTTATCAATACACTTGAGCACTACATTGTTGGGCCTATCATTGGAAGGGATCTACAACTTGAGTCAGATCATAATGGAGACACAATTCTGGGGAAACTGTGTTTGTTGTTTTTATGTGATTCGTCTCAGTACCCATAATCATAGGAGTGTCCCAAGAGAGGGAACCTCACAGGTAACGGGACGTTTTCCTCATTCTTTACGTTATGGCTCATATTCTAGCGAACAACAGAAGCATTTTCGATCTCTCCAGGGAGTGATATTCGTCTGCGAGGTTTCTGTTTGTGACTTTCTGAATCGAGGTTTCATTGATTTATTTTTGACCCTTTATTGAGATCGAGGATAAGTGAGTTACCTTTATTAGTGAAACTAATTTCATAGAAAGGGTAAACGAGAAACTTCTACTATACTTCATACCATGCAGTAAGGAGAAAGGTACTTACGAAACCAGTGTGGATGTATGGGAAAAAGGACAAAACAATGTCAATAAATACAGCGAAAAGTGTTCTATACAATGATGCTTAAATTTTTAATGATATGGATATCGAGGTTGTATTATTTTTAGATCATGATAGTTCTGAGTTCCCCAACAGTACAAAACGTGTGGTTAATGACATACTCGGTTTTCTTGGGATGAATCTAAAGTGAGACTAAAATGTAACGTTCCCTGTAAGTATTCTTCAGCCGCTCCTGCTGCAAGAAAGCTACATTAAGAAAGGCGATTCAATCTGCTGAATGCCATTCCAAATGAAGCATAAGGTGGCTGTGTGCCACACACTCAGGACAGAAGGAGACTCAGGGGAATTTCAGAGTAATCTGTCGTCAACACCGACTTAGAGAACACTTACCGCACCGTATGCAAGAATTGATGTTCAAGTAAAAAAACATGCCCGGTAGAAGATCGGGGAGTAGACAAAGGCGTTAGTGAACTGCCCAGAGATTTCATCCAGCTTGTGAGTATTGTTGAGGCAGATAGTGATATCTTGGCTACCTTTCCAAATGAAAAGTGAGGCGGTTTTTGTAGAAAATGTGGTGAATAAAAAGTTTAGATGAAGTTTGGTTGAGCTTTCTGTTAACATCAACTTAATTTGCAAACTAATATTCCTCACTACGTATGCTCGGTTTGTTGTTCAGGGCTTGGTAGAAAAGCGGAGACTACGCGCACTTGATGAACCCCAAGAAGAACAAAACCGGTGATGGATTGTCTAAAGTCTTCATCGACATTATAATCAGTGTTACTTGTGGTATCCCGGATGCATTCGATGGGCTCCTTTAGGGTGCTCGAGCCTAGCCAATACAAAACTCGACTAGTCCTATAGTGAAACAACGATGTGTTCAGGTGGATGGTTGCATTCTCATTTTGCCATAATCTATTTAGAACGTCGATTCCGGGTGTGACTGTTACGATATGACAAGAATCATGCATAGATCGCTCCACATCTATACAGGGATTTGAGTTCAAATCTGGTCATGAACTCTAGCTGAATTAAAAACTGTTCTGTCTTGCTGCACCTATACGATCTGCCAACCTGCACGCATGATTTGTCGGTGCAGCACACGGGCTGGGCATGAAAGTTATAATTTCGCATTGATGGTTCATCTACCGGATGCCATTTATTATTTGCAAAGCAATATATACGTTGTATCCATACAGGGAGACCATACAAAGGGAATGACACGAAACGACGTCATATGAGGGCTGGATTCCTCTAATAGAGATACGTTTCAATACATCTCAATGAACCAGCTAAATAAGGTTTTTCCGCAGGAATCTTTAGTGGAAACAGGCTTTCCAAAAGGAAGTCTGCTGTAGCCGTCATCGTGAACGTCTGTATTCAAGGGCTAGCGAAGGAGCAATATTCAGCCAGCACGTGTTCGTCAATCCTTTTCGCACTACGTGAACAGATGCGCCTACACACTATCGAAAACAGCATTCTGCTGACAGGATAAGAAATTCTGCAGTTACCTAATTTCGAGTGACAAACGGCAGTTATTGAAGAATGATTCATCTTGATGTGTCCAATATGACGGTAGCTCACCGTTTTGTCTGGCTTGATAAGGTCACAGCAGTATTTCAGTGAAAAGATTTGGCAGACTGTCCGACCAGATATAGCCGATCTTCTTGTACATACATACATGTGTTTGAGTCAACTACATGAACTTTTGGTGACTAGTGCGGGATCTGACATCCGACCACCGTCGACGGCAATGCAGTGAAGCGGACTTCACATAATTCCGAAATTACCCAAGGGTTATTAAGCACGATGAAGCTATTTGAATGGAGACTGCTAAATGACGAAGCTAGGTTCGATGAATTAGGATCTAAGCATCATAGACATCAGCGACAGGTCCTGAACCTGAGCTTGGGTTTGGGTCACTGAACAGGCATGCATAACACAGAAGTCAAGTCAACTGCATTCGGCCTGTGAGTACATTAGCGCAAAGTTTACACAGAACTTTCAATATCACTTCCATTAATCATCCATACAAATTGACATTTTTATGGACTAACCGATGGCCTTTGGTGGTCATTGCAGATCACCCCTTCCATGTAGCCTTCGTTCTCACGTGAGAAGTAAAAAGCTGGATCGACCGTCTCTCTTGCATATAGATGGACCGCTGAAATATTAGATTTGTTTAGAAGCAAGGTTGTCATTCGGTTGCTTATCAGTTTCTCGCAATTCAAAACAACAGTTCTTAGAGGGTAGCCAACTGGATCTTCACTCTGACAAAATTTATTCCCCCAGTGGTTAAGAGGGCCATATTTAAGTATCTTTATTGTTTGGTGAGAGTGTTTGAAAGCGTCTGTCACCATAGCATCCGTGCAATTGTTTCCCTAACAATGACTGATGAAGATGAAAACATGTGTCCCTTCTTATGTTCGATACGCTAGACTGAACTGACCAATCACGTCGGATCTTCGATTAACATGGTCTGTAGAAGACATTGTTCGCAAGTTAGTACACATTAATTTATGCTCGCTTAAGCACAGGCCTGTTTCGTGCCGCCGTCACTGTCAGCACTGCTTCTTTCGTAACATATTCAACATTACCTAATCGCCCATGTCCACAAAAGCAGAGAAGCGCTACACAGACGCTCAGCTACAAGCACGGTTGTCAAAACTTGCACCTGATCAACAAGTGAGTTACTTCACTGGAAATATCATTGTAGCGTATTGACAAAAATGTGTGGTTTGCTCGTTCCCACCGAAGCACCAAGGCGACGTGAGAGAAATAAGTACACTATGTACTGAATCAGCTTCTTCTTAGGGCAGCAACAGAAGCTAGTTAGGTTAAGGCCTTGCGAAAGCCAGGAAATGGACAATTTTGATGAGCAGTGGCTTTCCGTTGGAGTAGATATCCACAGGACTGACCTAAATCACTCATTCGGCACATTTTCTACAAAATGAATGTAGTCTTTCTGACTAATAGATTACGAGTTATTATAATCGTTATTCAGTTATTTTCGGGGTTTTTCGACCCTGTTTTGATCCCTTTACACAGAGTTAACTCGCCAAACTGAACCGAGTGCAGTGCATATTGAGTGGAACTTGATGCCGATGCAGTGGGTTGGTTTAATAAGAGCGAAACTCGAGTCCAGTGGTTTCCTTTGGTGTGGACTCACCGGAATAATTACGCCAGAACAGGAACACGGCCGTTCAAACGAGAGTGGTGTGGCTATGAACAATTTCATTTGTATTGGTGGTTTCTTGGGACCCCTAACAATCATCTACATATTTCACTGGTAAATTTATACGGAATTACCGCACTTCAGAGATTTTCTAGTGGCTGTACTTTTTAAATCACTCTTGGAGCTACTATCATATTGTTTGGACGATTCGGCAACCACTGCAATGATTCTAACCTAGGAAGAGCTCCTCTAGGGATAAAATACCACACGATAGGAGAATTTCCTCTTGTTACAATTTTTGGAGAGAGCAGCCAGGATAAGAGTACGATTAGGGGAAAATCAATGGATAAAAGTGATGGATTTATGCAGTAAAATTGCCCGACTGTAGAAAATATGGCCTGAGTGACAACAGTAAACTTATTGGTAACATGAGAATAACTGGGATCTTTCAACTGAGAGTCCATGAGTAAATCCAATCAATGCCGAAGTCAATCTAGCCGAGAAACACTGTGCAGTTGTTGCTTTCCCAGTGGGAATCACTATCAGTAGTTCGAAAAGCTTCGAACCCACGACCAGCCGACTAGTGTTTGAACACTCAGCCGTTCGGCCGCGAGTGGCGGTTCGGTGGTTAGATTTCCATTTGGGATGAACGCGCTTCATGACTAGATTGACTTTGGTGTAGAGTGAGTTCAATTGTAGGGCGAACTTTTGATTGAAAATTTCGAAATTCCTCCATACTGCTAGAGGCCACATGTAGCTCAGAGGAAGACTAACTCAGACGACGAGCAAAACCCCATCTGAGAAATTGTCACTCTAGGAGCCAGCCAGCATGTGATCACGTGATGTGGTGTCACTGACTGAGTGGGGGTGCGCTATATCCTGTCTATGTTCGCGGTAGTCACATTACTGATCAGCAGCTAGAGAAAGAACAGTAAAATGTCCAACTACTAACCGAGGGGTGGTGGGTTCGAATCTCCCCGGAGTTTCACGAGATGCGCAATAGGGATGAAACAGCCATACAGTGCTAATAGGCTTTTCTGTATAGATTGCTGTCACTTAGAGAAAGGGCTTTTGATTGAAATGTACTTATTGTTCAGCTGGTTAGGTAAACCTGACAGAAACTCGAGGACCTGCGACCGGTTTCACGAATGAAGAGGGTAACCCTACCTGGTTTAGTTTTACTGGATCCTGATGGACGGAGGGTTTCACTCAAAAAGGAACAGCACTGTTGATTACGTCTCGTTTTGAAAAAAACTCTGTAGAGCTCCAATAAGTTTCGGCTTTATGTCATTTGGATGCCACGGAGCACCGGAAGTTCCACACTCGTTCCGTTTTGGTGACATGTGTTCTCTCGTGCAAGTGGAGTTGGTCGAATAACTTAGTGCTAGTTAACAGAGGAAAGCTGTAGTATCAACAACTGCATCTGTTCGGTGTTGTGTGCCAAATTTGATAACGACGAAAAGAAAATCTCCGTAGTAAAGGTTGGGTCTGAAAAAAGTTGGCCGTAAAGACAAGTGAACCGAAATTTTACCACCATATCAGCAGTCATGTCACCTTATTTTGGCGAAATCGGTCTGCGCGAAACGCTAGTAAATTTTGGAATGGCCCTATGTTGAAGTAGACAATCGTGAATCCAATGGTGAGCACTTTACTTATGCGTGTTCAGGAAGCTTTCAAGATGACGAGGGGACGATTTTAGTTAACCCCATGGAATTCGTTCCTCGGTGGCACTCACCACACTATTCGTATAAATCATGTACGAGATACTCTGTCTAAATAAAATTATTGTACAAAAACTTTAACGCACACTTTAACGCATGGAACAAAATTAAACTCATATTTATTGGGTACCATAACTAATTATCCTACCGTCTGTCCGCTTTGGCTACTGGGATAACAAACCTACCACCACTGCTATCGTAACCAGAACCTCGAACTTTGTCATGAATCATGAAAAATGATAAGAAACGGATAGCTATAGGTTTAGAAACGAGGTGATAGGTTGACAAATCGACCACTGGGCCCGGAAATCTCGAATAATCAGCCGGATTCTGAAGCTGATCCATCATTGAATTTGTATGCTACATGAACTGAACATGAAATATCCGTTTGTGTACTGACAACATTGCATGCTACTGTCCTATAGCAGGGGGTTTTAAGTAGACAAATTATACTACACAATATTATGCCTATTAAGGATACCACCCGAAGTGACAAAACAACATTCCCTGTTAGTTATGAATTAACGAGACACCCCCAAGGGAGGCCAAAAACTTCTCTGACTGATTCGTATAAATCATGTACGAGATACTCTGTCTAAATAAAATTATTGTACAAAAACTTTAACGCACACTTTAACGCATGGAACAAAATTAAACTCATATTTATTGGGTACCATAACTAATTATCCTACCGTCTGTCCGCTTTGGCTACTGGGATAACAAACCTACCACCACTGCTATCGTAACCAGAACCTCGAACTTTGTCATGAATCATGAAAAATGATAAGAAACGGATAGCTATAGGTTTAGAAACGAGGTGATAGGTTGACAAATCGACCACTGGGCCCGGAAATCTCGAATAATCAGCCGGATTCTGAAGCTGATCCATCATTGAATTTGTATGCTACATGAACTGAACATGAAATATCCGTTTGTGTACTGACAACATTGCATGCTACTGTCCTATAGCAGGGGGTTTTAAGTAGACAAATTATACTACACAATATTATGCCTATTAAGGATACCACCCGAAGTGACAAAACAACATTCCCTGTTAGTTATGAATTAACGAGACACCCCCAAGGGAGGCCAAAAACTTCTCTGACTGTTAGCGAATATACGTTCATTTGCAAACTAATTTGGTTCTTTCGAGAGACGCACCTGGAACCCAGCTGAATCTCTCGTTTATGATGTTCTCAGGCTGTCGATGGATTTTCAGCAACCTTATGAGTAGTACATTACAAAGATTCTCTGACTGTTATTTATCTCTTCAGAGGAGAACAGTGTCTAGAGAAAAAAAACCGGACAAGCATAAAACTCGCATTCATGCACACAACTTAGAGAAACTGTGTAGGGAGCATAAGTTGGACGCAGACATACAATGAAAAAAATAAAAATTAGGGTAAAAAATAAAATCATATAGACAAACTAAATCAATCCCGACTCACACAAATACATCGCTCACCTATTACATCAAAACTAAGGTGGGAAAACCCGACTATTAAATCTGATAATCATCCGATTTTTCTCGACTTGCATTCAAGCGTGAAAAATGTGCTTTGTTGTACGCAAAAGTCCGTACTATTCAATTTTTCAGACATTTTCATTTTTATCAAAATCCGCGAAATTTTGCGCTGCCAGAATGTTTTGATATTCGTTCATCAAACAAACATATTTTGGTGGACATACTGTGATCACAACCGTATTTTAGAAAATCCGGGCTCTGTTTACCAGACTTTTGGATCTATCCGGCAGCTCGGAATCAAACCCGTTGTGATTTTAGTCAAAAGTCCTAGGTGAGCTTTGACACACTATGGAATCGTACACATATTTTCAGTTCATCGAATATCCGAACTAGATAAGGCATTCACTTACACGTACTGGTTTGGTCATGCCTATCAGTGGCTAGGCTGCACCCTAGTACGGTCTTTTGACATTTTCGGGGTTGGAATGGGGAAAAGACCTGTACAAGTAAAGTGAACTCCGTGTTTCACCACTATCAATGCGACAGTTAATTGTTTGAGAAAGATAATGGTAACTGGGCGATGTAAATTTATCATGTGTCACAGCACGACCGATGAATCTGATGGACTGGTTCATAGAAACTCCGAATCAGTGAACCGCTGTTGAGTCTAACGTATTCTCATGGCAAAGTGGAAATCTGAAAATGATCTCAAATGTCATTGTAGTCTTTTAATTACTGCGACATACAGCAATTTTGACGATTATATTTATTGCTCCAGTGGGGTCCTGATCTCCACAATCTAGAAATCGCTTCGTATCAACAGTTTCATGGGTTACCCATGAACTGTGCGAAAAATCGCTCTTACTTCCTACACCTATATTCACCTCAGCCGGGACTTTGTTCTCGCCCTGAAGCTAATCTATGCTGGAAGGTCGAAGTGCACTTTGCAGCTGTTTTGTCTTTAAAGGAGATAGCCAGCAGTACAAATTGGCAATTTCGCGGCATACAGTTAGCTCAGATGCACTGCTTGTTTGTTGGTCTGTTCGCCGAGCTTGGCAGCTGGATTACAAACGCTTCATTACCAGTCGGGATGATGATCGTCAGTGCGGAGTCAAGTGATGAAGCGTTTGCAATCCAACTACCAAGCTTGGTGAAACAAAAGTACGAATGTCGGGATGATGATCGTCAGTGCGGAGTCAAGTGATGAAGCGTTTGCAATCCAACTACCAAGCTTGGTGAAACAAGAAGTACGAATCTTGCGGAGCTCCAGAGTGTCTTGAACCCGCGACCTACCTGTTAGTAGTGTGAATACTTTTGACCAGGAGCGCCTGTCATTAGGTGTCCTTAGTTTGTAGTTAGAAAACAGCAACACTCACCCTTCCTGATGATTTACAATAAGGGTCAAACAGCTGTACAATGCTTCTCGGCTTTTCGGCACACGTTGGCTTCACATACAGTACGAAATCATCATTAAAAATTCCCCATACTGATATTTAATACAGAAAAAACCAAGTGCTACATCACAGGCCAGTCCAACACTCACTTCTTAACGTTTCACCACATTCAGCGCAATCAGTTGTAGAGATAACCGAAGCAATTTTCACCTCTTCCATTGTTATTTTATCAAGCATTGTTTCTTCCGGTACGCGGATCCACTGCTCAACGAGGAGTCGGACATGTACTTGTCAGTTATTTCCAAATGTCGCATGTCGTTTGCTGACGCAATAGCCAAACTGAAACAAACTGAACCGACAGATGAGGACGAAGTGGACGAAGAAGAATCCACGGAAGTGGCGAATTCAGGTAAACATTAGACTACTAGGGTACTACTTAAACAGTTGTAGATGAATTCACTTGTTTTCTTTCATCAATCTGAAATGGTTGTCACGTTTGTGAGGCTACAATTTCAGATACTGGAGACCCATCTCAGTGGAGCTGAGAGTCCCACAAAATATTCCGGAATCCAAGAAGATGATCTCCCAACACGGGGAAGAGAACAGAGAAGTGACAGAAAGCTGGGTTGACTGATTTGAAGTTAATGCCATCTATCTACCTGTCAGTGATTAAGTAGGTTAGGACAAACGGTGTTATCAAATATCATGTGATCATGGGGGATAATGTGACATTGTGCATGGTGGAACTGTCTGTCGACATGCCTTATGTGTTCGCTTCTTGTTGGAATTCCAGATAACGTGAATATTTCCACCCCCTTATTGGGCTGAAAATTGGGATGATTTTGTTGCTCTAAACTGTTTCACAAAATGGGAAGTTTGAAGTAACAGCACATCGTATCGGGATAAGACGTCACCGCACTATGCTGTTGTGATTTGTGAAACTTCCGATATTATACGCTATAAAAATCCGAGCCGAGTTTAGCTCCAAACTTTTAAACAAAGTAGTGTATCTTGTTTACATTGGTGTTGGGTTTCAGTCAAGTTATTGTAAACTGCACGAAATAGCTCATGGTTAAGACGCGGCCTTACTAACCGAAGAGTCCATGGTTCGAACCCAGTCTCGGCATATCGACTGCTTCTGTCTAGATCTGGGCAACCTCGCAGTATCTCAGTCCTCTTGCTTCCTTTGGATGACGTGTAACTCTAGGTACAGAAAGTGCATCACAAATGAACGATAAATATATGATATTTTATTAACTGAAAATGTCTGCTTGTGTTTAGGCTGGTTGTTACATTCCATATTTCAGTCTGTGTGACCATTAGCAGCTAGATAGATCAGAATAGCATACAGGCAGTCAGAATGATTATCTTTGCTATTTCCTGTTTAGTCCCTTGGTAATGTCTGTATCCCTGTTGTATTTGCATAAAGGATAAGTTTTTAAATATCATACCTTAGAGTAAGTTTCTTAGCAGGTGAAGATACCTCGGTGTGTGCTATTTAATGGGACAGGGAAAGTAGTCGGGCCAATTTGTACCAAGCCATGCACAACAAAATCCCTAACGTCAATCTTATTGTTCAACAAGGTAAACTATTTCTCACTAGAAAAGTCGTTGTTACTAGAAGGTTAAACAGGTCGATAAAGCAAATCAATCCACTGCGAGCCAATCTGACCGGAAAAATATCACGAGCGGTTGCTTTCAGTAGAGATACCTACGAAGATTCAACCTTCTTTACTTTTCATTTTATGCATATTCCTACAAACTGTTAAGGACACCATGAATCTTTTCAAGTATATTTCACGCAAATGAAACCCTGGAAACGGATCCGAATAGCAAGTAAAGGCAAAAGCAAGCAAAAGACAAAGTATTCACGTTTCAACCCCATGAACGAACTTGCCACAAGAGGTTTTGCAAGATTATGGAGTCAGTGATTTCTGATGGGCACGAACAGTAGGCGACCGTTCGACTGCATGATCTTCATATCTGATGGATACACCGCTAGTTTTGCTATAATTTACACGCCATTTCAGCTCCAGTGGCGGACATACAAAATTCAAATACAGGAAGGTAGATCGCACTGCTTTTGCTCATTGGTTATTGAGTGATTCTCACGGTAATGAATAAACCAGAATAATGAGGTTTAAAAGTTATATATCCTTGCCTGTAAGGTAACGCTCCTATAGGACTATGAAAGCTAGCAGGACCAGAGTACGGGAAAGATAAGGCTTCCTCAACTGCCCTTCGTCATCTCTGTGTGGGAGTGAAGCATTGATTATGGAGTAAAAAATCCAACTGTGACAAAGAGACTAAGGCTCAGTGGTTACAGCGTGAATTTACTGACCGGGAGGTCCGTGGTTCGAACCCGACCACTGCCTTTCGACTTCCCTTGCCCAGGCTTGAGCAACATGACAATATCCCAGCCTTCGTGCCTCCTACTAGTAGCATGGCAGCTAAGCACCGAAAAAGTGTTACACCTGAACGATTATTTCTATTATCTAGCTAACTATCTATCTATCGTGGTGCTACAAGCTGCATACCGCAGTAGCCCATTGAGCTGTACTGGAGAATGTCCACAATCTATAAGGTCTGTCCTACCCGGTTGATCAATAAGTGGAGGTATGAAAAAACGGTTTCCCGACCCGGGATTGAACAGATCTAGCGGTTTTTTCAAAACCTGAGCTACTCGTGTAGTCCCAAGTCAACTACTCTACTCTTATTTCTGTTTAGGTTTGGGCCCCTTGGTAGTATCTCAAACTATACCGTTGTGAAATTCACATAAAATTACTTTCATTCCACGTCGGCTTTCGAGTGATAACATCAGTCGGGTCGCCGGGTACACCGGGGCCGATATGAGACGTCTGACGACCTCCTTCCTTCTTCATTGTTTTCCATTAAATGGCGGCCTGTCCCACTTGACAGTTGCTCCTAAGTAGATCCTATCTGTGTACACAGCAGTCAGGCACCTACGGAACTGATCATCGCACGCTGTTTCTCTAATCTACCACGTTTCAGGCTTCAACCTTCTGTTTTTATTCCAGCTCTTAACATGATAACCCTTGGGCACATCTACCAACAAACAGGGCATACTCTACATACGTCTCCTCTATCTCTCAAACTTGAATGCAGGAGGCTTGTATGGTTGCTGAGCTTCTGACACCATCTGTATACCAATGTTACTGACTACCGATTTTCGGTTGATCCTAAGGTTGTCGCATCGGGTTGCGCCGGTGTTGGTATAGCCCAGTCATGGCACGTGAATTCAGATCACCCCATATTGGATGGAATACTAATTTGCCTTTCTGCCTTGAACCGCCATCGGACTGCTGGACCAGATGAGCTTCCACTGTGTGTTCCGCCTTGGATGGGCTGTTCGTACGTTTTTCCAAATAACAGTGTGTTCCAGAGAATTAGAGACAATCGACCCGTGTTCTAGAAAGATACCTGACACCAGCTTTTTTAATCAAAGGGTTGTGAGCCTCACAACTGTTGTAACATAGATACTGGCTTCCCTTGTATTACCACGTTCAACTTCGGCATGTCAGACGTAAATTGGGGGTTGCTGTGTACAACTAACGTTTAAGAAACCTCTTGACATCTGGTGGATTTTGCTACATTTTTCCGTTCCCCATTTTGTTCAACTTTGTCGTGGATGTTACCACGACTTGAACACTTCAAGAAATCACGAATTTAGGTATCAAAACAATGTCTGGAGAGCTAATAATGGGATTAGACAACACGAAAGTCATCTTTCTGTTGTTTAACGATTATTTGCCCATGTCGGAGGTGATTTAATGTCTTGGTATACATTTTACACCTTTTAAGTTCAAAGTTTTACTTCAAAATTTCCGATTCCACTGTGCTTCACCAAAACTCCAGAAGTAGGAGCATCATTTCGTTGGTGGGTTCCACGTATCTGGAAAGCGGAATAAGCGTCCGGGAAGTTAGCATGTGAAGTTAGTGCGCAGATCATCGAGGCGCGAGCAGCGTTCGCTAAATCGCATCATTTATAGCATCAGAAACGACTATCGCTGAAGCTAAAAGACCGTGTAAGAACGAACCTATTGTTGGTTTCTCCGATCCTAATCGTATTGAAACGTTTGAACATTGGTATTTCCGCAGCACAGCAAGAATTAGTTGGCTGCGGTGGTTATGTAACGAGGTGGTGCGTAACCAGGCACTTGGTGACGAGTCCGGATCGTTACAATAGCAGATCAAATGTACCAGGTTGCGACTTTTGCACAAAGACTACTTTCTCTGATCAAAAGAATGAGGCAACCGAACCCATATTGCTTATTGGAGCACGAACGAACGTGATTTGGGAGGTTAGTTAAGACTGATTGTGGGCACCGTTGTCACTAAGCCAATTTCTGGGAAAACGCCTATTTCTTGTATGCAGTGTGAAGAGATTTTGAAATTTTCAATAGGGTTTTCGTCCTGTGCGTGAATTCAGTCCATGCTGAAAAAAGGAGAAGTACTGTAGAGCATCTTCCATATGAGAAGTCGTCACTCCACACTTGACGAATAATGTGGTTTCCGTGATTGAACTGCATTTTATCCTTTCGAAGTGCAAGTTAATCACATTGCTGATTGGGCGCTCGCGGTGGTACGGTCAAGTGTTCAAACTATTAGCAGGGAGGCCGCGGATTCCGAAATCCGAAGTTTCAAATTGTTGATTATTCCCAGTTAGGATGCAACAGCTGTACGGCGCTTTCCAGCATTTCGGCGTAGACTGGATTCACTTACAAAACGAAGTTTCCATCTCGAACACAGATTTTCTAGGTCTAGGTTTCTAAATGAGACAGATAGGTCGGATTGTAAAAATGTTGTTGAATACTGCTGCATTGTTGTTTCAAACCAAAAGCGAAAGGATTCATTTTGGTTTCCAGTTTGCTGTGCCACACAAAGGACTGTTCATCCTCTAAAAAGACTTTTGACACGTTTTATTCGTCATTTCATTTATTTGAATGCTTGAACTTTCGTGACCATACGAACGCGTTGTTGTGCAAATTTTGTCCGATAGTTTTAGCAGTTAAACTGGGGTAAATTCACCCACCATGGGCATATGAACTAAGCACAACAGTTGCGTCCGATGATGTTTACAACCATAAAAGCCTTGATTAACTCACGACACATCAAGCGCGGGCATTGGGAAGTGTCCAGGTTGCAACGTTTCGTCAGGATGGTCACAACAGGTAGCGTACACACCTCACCGCCCTTCTGTCGTTTGGTTTCGTAAAGCCCAGTCGTACACCCGATTAGCGGTACACCCGGTCTAGTATGTCAATCGGTGAACTCAAAAAGCCCGATTAAACAGGAAAACCGGTCATTCTAACTAAATTATACTCCTCCATCCTTCAGAGATGGGATGCACACCACTAAGACAGCCCGCAAGTATTGAGAAAGTCACTTACACAACAAAGGGAATGAAGAGAAAGTTTTCCACGGAATACGGTATGGAAGATACTATGCACGAAGAAGCGACAAGAGAATTGGAGGACAATTTGTCTCAACCATACAAAAACCATCGGATTGTGAAGAGATGGTGGCCTGATGATGATGCCGACGAGCTAGCAGTTTCCAGAGGAAGCTATTGCGAACGATGCACCGGCGGAAACTGGTATAGCTTGTTAGTCGACGGGTTCAGCAGTCTATGAGTTTTATCACTGTGTGATTTCCAAAGCCTCAGGTTCGTCACACATTAATCGAACAGGGAGTCTTCCTGGAGTTGTGAAGATAGGTGTGTTGAACATCAGTCTACAAGGAGAAAATCTACCACCAGAATGAGTCATGTGTGAGAGTTGTGGTATTAGTATCGGTCAATAGGGAGGACAACTGAACACATCTTGTACTCACTCTTCGCATCAGAATGACGAATCATGGACGAATTCCCTGCCGAACACTCAATCAATTAGTCTACTCTTTCGATGAGATTTTAGAATGCAACTCAAGCTGCGAAGGTCATTATCAAGAAATGTACTTCCATAACGCTTTACCCAGTAGGCGTTAGAAGTACTTCATAAACGTTGGATACACCAAATCCCAATGGTATTTGGTTGGCTAATGTACTTCAGCATTCTTAGAGGAAGGGAATATTTAGCTAGGAAAGTGGTCTGATCGCTGTCATGATCTACTCAATCTCGCCTCGGAATACCACAGCGTTGTTTGATTACTCATTAACGAAGTGTTATTAGGACCGTAAATTTTGGTCATCACGTCTGTTTGTAGCTAAAAACTGGGTAATACTGACTACGGGAGTTAAATCATAACCAAGCTTTCTAGTAAATTTGTCAACAAACTATTTTCGACTAGTTAAAATGCACAAACCATTCGAACTTCGTTAAAAGCCCAGAATGTTATTACGACATGTGATTTTAAGCCAATATGAAGTCAGCGGAATACCAGCCTCTCAACGAAGGGTAGGCTCCTCTTGGCTTTCTAACGGAGCGTTTTAGCTGCACTTTATGAAGTGGTCGTCTGTTTGGCCCACCTTCCATGAAACTCTATTAGGAAGGGTACATTTTCTCCATCCGTGGCACGGGAACCCCTCCTCAACCATCTAGGATCACCTCAGTTTTTGTTCACTTTCCGTCCACTGATTCGCTAACCCTGCAGTACAAAACGTCCCCTCATTATATATTCGACGAATACGTTCTGCTTTCATCAATCTCGTAAGGAGACACATATGCGCGCATACCATATACGCGTATGGTGAAATATCTTGACTTAACACATGGAAAGAATATTTGCTCTTTTTCCACTAGGAGATGTTTTGCCTGGTAGATAAAGTTATGTATGACTAATATCCCGGTTTACATTTCTTTGTGAATAACTGTGTTTTCGCAAATACAAGGATAAGCGTAATGAGCTATTCATTCTCCATTTGTAATTTAACAACCACACACACCACAGTGGTGAAAAATTACAAGAGGAAACCTAACGCAGATTGAATTCTGCACTGCTGACTGCAGTATTTATCAGTTTGTAACGTGCAAATCTACGTTGCCAGTCGCTCTAAACTTCACATGAAAAACCTGTCCAAAAAGGCCAATTTGTTAGGCTTAATCAATGATTGCTGTGCCACTGTCATGATCCCTAGACCTAATAGCTCAAAAGTGCCACTCTAACCAAGGCCCTGTGGTGTTCTGGCGCGTTTATGTGAGGAGGTAGCTGCAAGCAGAATGTGGATCATTGATGAGGTGCTGTCTGCTGTATCATTCGGATGGTCCCCGCTTGCACGATTGCAGCAGTCACTCTGACAGCGAATCTTGCTTCATGTCTGAGTGAAAAACCCTAAAGGACTGGTTTACAAGCCATTCCAGGTTAAGTACTCGGTGAGAATAATCGGTCAGAGGCTCTTAAAGTGACTATCTTTAAGCATAGTTCTAGCACAAACAAGATGTTCTGGGTGGTCGGGTTGAATCCACAAGAGGACATCCTCACTTGGTACGCCACCATCTCATCCCATCCTTTTCTTACGAGATGCGTATTATGGCCCCTGAAGCTGCACGATAGCCTTCTTCACTAGACTTAAAGGAATAAACAGACAATCAATCGCAATGTGTTAATTCTTTAACACAGACTGTAGCTGTCGTATCGCAGGTTACCGTAAGCATCTATGAAATTATCAGTGTGAAGCCTGCCTCCTCTAGCTACACTCACTTCTGATTCCATCTAATACAATCACTTCGATTCGCTCTCTTACGAAGCCACTCACACGAGTCTACGAAGACTCACAAAGCTTGTCACACTCGTTGTTGCTAACACCTTACTTGGCACTTCCCAGTGGCCCTGCTCGGCATCCCGCATAAGCCTGAGGTATGTGGGTTTGTGGCCCGTTGGTGTAATGCTTGCCCGTCGTTTGCCGAGTCTTTTTTTGCTCGACCCAGAAATAGGAGATTTTAACAATGGCACCAGTCATAATATCTTGACCTTTGAGCTGTCTGACTGACACCTTAAATCCCTCTGTGGCGACTACAGTAGTTTTTTGTAATTAACTCAATCTAATGGTTTTGATCGAGGGTTTATCTGTGCTTGCATGCTGTCTCAAGGTTGCATGTTCCACCTTTTCTTGCTTGGAATTGGAGACTTTGTTGACGAGTTCCTCAAGCAAATATGAGGTTTTTCCTTTGGTTGGCTTTGTGAATACAACCTCAGTCAATTTAAAGGTGTTCAGATGAAATCGGCAGCCCAACGGATAACTGATCACCACGCGATGCTAGCTTGGCTATCACCATGCTTACCTAACTGGCGGATAACACAATGAACTCTTGTGAGGTGGTGGTTGACATGGCAACACAGTTATATCGGGGACAATTCCGACCAGGTCTATTTAACAACCTCTGGGTTTGTTTAACCACACGAATGTCAGTAACGAATTACCCAGACAACTGAACTAACACGGCCAATCACTCTCATGATGTATCACATGTTAGCGGTGTAGACCTAATGAGGAAAATTATCAAGGAATGATGGCCTTGAATAAAATGTATGCTGGGAATATACATGTGAGCCACATCAGAGGTGAGGGAGTTAATTTCAGCTTTCAACCTTTTCTCCACTTGTTTTAGAAGTTTAGTGCAGTCGTTGTGCCTAAAGATGTGCGATAAGGAATGACGGATGAACGTGGGTGTGCACACACCACAGCAGTTGCATAGATGGGTACCATTGTTTCAATAAGTGTGAATTTCCTCGGTTCAGCAAAACCTCTCGATTCTCTGGAGCGTTCCAACTTTAGAAATCTCCCCTCTTCTTCGCATTCCATACAACAGACGACATTCTAGTCTATTTCTTCCCCAACTGTATGCAATGCAGTTATTAGTCTCTGGAGAGCCTACAAGCCGAAGAAACGACTTAGTTGGCCTCTCAAAACATATTCTAAAAGGAGGTTCGTCCCCAGAAGCGAGTTCCTATGATTAATCCTCTCAGATGGTCCCTTCAGAATGAGGGATTACTACTTCTACTGCCAATAATAATAATAATAATAATAATAATAATAATAATAATAATTCAGCTGTACCATCCATTTAATGCGTGGCTACCGTGCCACCCCAAGGTAGCACGAATGCTGAGATGATTTTAGGTTGCCCAAACCTAGACAGGGGCTGTCGAGATGACGGAGTTGGGAACCACGAAACTTCCGGTCAGTAAGTTTTCACCTTAACTACTGAGATATCTTGAGCTCAGGGGAGCAACTGATGCATAAATACTGACAAGATGCTACAACGAAATGAACTTCCAGATCGAAATCCCATCAATGTCAGTAATGTGCGAAAACGGTTCGTGATGTCATCCTACTCAGTCCAATATGTTGGCAACAGCAAACTAGACTAGGCACACAGCAACGACAATTTAAGGTGTGGTAAAAGATTAGGGATATCCAATCCCACCTGGAAATCGTTTAGCTGTAACATCCTTTTGGTGCCTAGCTGCCATGCCACCCGAGAGAAGCACGAGTGCTGAGGTACTACCAGGTTGCCCAAGCCTAGACAGGGCTATCGAGATGCCGGAGTTGGGTGAGTGAGTTCGTGCCTTGAACACTGGGCTGCGAAATAGCATAAATTACCACACAATAATCAGTGTAGTAATGGGATAAAAACAGAATGACTTCCATTATTCGGTAGATGATAACGATTACGATTTAATAAATTTAGTGGCGGTGTAAGAGACTACCAAAACAGCACGTTCAGTGGTCTCACTGTGCAGAACAAGCTAAATGAACACCGAATTTTTTTAAATTTCCGACATGGGTGCTGGGATGATAAGTGCGGAATAATGATAAAGCATTTTTAACACACTCCATCATGTGGCGGGAAGTGATTTTACTGGGAACATGTTCGTATCGGATAACCAGAGCTAGGAGCGATGTTAACTTCTTATAGAACAGGTTGATTGCAATAAGCTTGTCCTCGGAACACATTGGCTAGCGTTTCTCACTGGAGGTCTTTTAAACTACAAAATGGTTTGAAATTTTGTTGACCACACTATCCGCTTTTCCGTGGCGTTAATACTGGGAGGTATTCTATCTCTCAAAATGAACAAACCCTGGTCCGACTCTTCTCTTTGTCTTCTTTGAGGTGTTTGGTCTTAATGGGCCAATTCTTGAGAAGCACCCTAAACAGGGATTCTTACAAGAGAGGGCACGTTTCCTGGAATTTAGCAGAAGCGTTCCATGTCAATTTGTTGAAATATAGATAGCTCGGATGTGTTTATTGTTAGTTGATCGGATGGTGGTTGATCTGTTCGCCGAACTCGGCAATTGGTTTGCAAATGTTTCATCCCCAGTCGAAGAGACATCGTCGGTTGACTGAGTACTTCCTCCGTGCCTAGCTGCGTCTATATAGCTTTTGAAGAGTATCTAATATCCTGTCATTTGGTTGGCTAACAAACCAATGGAATACGAAGCATACAGACCACAACACAACGCAACTCACAATCCAGCCGATAATAGTACAAGAAAGGTATAGATCAACAGTGGCGTTCCTTGTTAGCCGCGATCTAATGACTGAGTAGAACATGTATCGATTTTCAGCTCACAAATATATCGACTAACACCGATACAAACTCCCATCCTTTGTCTACGAATGGTTCCTGTGATTAAAAATAGTGGTAAATGTACAGGGTAGAAATAGTTTTCTGTAGTAAAGTATGACAATGTGGAATATGTTGATGGATTAGCCTGTTCAATTGAAAAAAACACCAACACTTCTTGCGAAACACTGATGGTTAGAGAATGGTCATGCAATGATAAAAAACTTTTATTGCCTACTACTTGGAAATCCTGGACGAAGTCAACAAAATCGAAAGAGTCATGAATATTATGGTCGCACAGTTTTTTACGAGTGAGGTTTAGCAGCTCTCTCAGCTTGCAGTACTGCGTAGGCAACGTCAGTCAGACCTAAATTGCTTAACATCGAAGCAAGCGCCGTGCTCTCCGGATTACCCGAGGCGAACACTGGGGCAATCGCGGTTGCATTTATAGAGTCACGTTTTGTAACTTTGTTGTGCCTATTGTACTTTCTTTTGGCAGATTCATTCACAAACTTGTTTTTCTAATCAAATTGTTGACATTAATCAGGAAAACATTAGGAACGGTTAAGGTGGTCGCAGCTGATCTAGAACAGCTGGCTGTTTCTCACCAAAACTGTGGCTTGGAAGCGCTGATTTATCGGTGGCTTGCGAATCAACCGGATCAAAGGGGCTATGGTGTATCACCATTGGTAATTCACAATCTGTCAAGCGTTTTAGTAACTGGCTTTTAACGACGAATCGTGCTGGAGTTCTAACACTCACTCAAACTTTGCGTACTAGTGTGTACATGTGTCTAACGAGACCATATCAAATTGATACAGTTGCAGTCCGTCCCAAACTGCAATGGAGATTTGCATTGGAGTCGGCAGTAACCTTTTCTTGAAGGCATGTAATCTTTCTGAAATGATATCGTAGCACTCAAGGTCATCAGGGAAGAATGTATTGTGCGGTATGTTAGTCTAGAGTACAGAGCGGTCTGTGCTAACGAGAGATTATACAGGATGGCAGTCTTGCTGAGGAACTTCTGAGTCCGTGGTCAGGCTGGAACCAGGGCTAGAATAAAACAAGGCATTGAAAACATTACCTCCTAACCAGTATGAGGTTATGTGACAATTTTTGATACGGCCATGACTATCAAGTAAATGTACCCTTGCTATTCCGCAAAGGAATATGTTATGAAAGAGAACTCGTGTTTTTCTCCAATTTGGACTAATCACTGTTTAATCCCCCTCTTCTTCCCCGAGTGAATCATTACCTTTCTCTGAACAGAGATGGATTTATTCAACTGCTTCTTGATATCATCCTAGCTTTGAACTAAGTGCCATACTCGGAACTAGTTTACAAGTTGGGCGTACACTATCTTTCGATCGCCTGGAATCCCAATGTGTCACAGAGGACTGAAGATCCGAACAGAATACCTTCATGTTTTGTCACGCCATTGAAAAAGGCTTCAACTAGTCCCGGTCAAGAATTTGGCTCACCTCGCTTGAACCGAGAGTTAACTTTGATTGATTCTGCGGTGTGAAGTTACATACAGGTAAACCGAAAAAACAAGTATTTTGAAGAGGGAGGGTTTGCATACTTTTTTCCATTTCATCAAAGTTCGTAGTAAACATTATCGGACCCGTTGGCAGAGTAAGCCAGACATTCAAACCAGTTATTCTCAATAAGCTCTTTGAGTCGAATGCGAGTCGCACGAAAAGTCCTCTCTTTTTGTTTAAGCCACTCCTTTCGATACGTCTACGCAAATTGGAAAACACATGGCACTGATTGGATTGGCGTTTTCGGAAATTCTGGAGGCTCAAAAGGAACGAGCCCGAAGTGCTGACCTGATTCAGAGAAAGAAGCAGCTCAAGTAAGCTTTCGCCAATGTCGTTGGTCCATTTAGCATGTTTTTTGTTTTTGTTTTGCCCTTTCGATGGGAGTAAGCTTTCGCCAATGTCGTTGGTCCATTTAGCATGTTTTTTGTTTTTGTTTTGCCACTTTCGATGGGAGGAATATAGAAAGGTCATAGACAAGTCATTTGAAATTGATGTGCTCCGTTTATAAAGGATGCGTTGAACGTTTCTGTTATTCTTCTAATTTAGTTCAGTGGTTCTTCAAGCTGAGTTTGCCGAAACTTATAGTGAGGTAAGGATTGTATAATGGGTATGTTTGTACATTTCTCAGATTGCCAGTGGTTCGTTTAATCTATCTGTCGAAGTGAGGAAAACGTTCTTCGTGAGCCAGCCTTAGCTACTTGGGGCCCAGAGCTTTCTTTCGCACATCAATATCAGAACAGAAACTATAGTGCATAATTCTGCCTCTCTGGAGCGTTTCATTAGTTTCGGTGACTGTTGAGCGTGAACTGAGATCTCATGTATTCAAGACCAGTGAAACCGTTTCAGTGCCTTGAGAAAATGGAACGAAGTTTGTGACCGCGAAACAAACTGCATATCTATAAGGCGATTGACCCATCTGCATTCTTGAGTGATATTGAATCGCTGACCAGCGTAAAATGCATAAAATGCCTAAGACGCATAAAATGATTAAGGATGATGCTAGGTATCCTATGGTTTACTGAATACTGAGAAACGAAACCCGGCGGGCAGATGTGGAGGGATTTACACCTTGATTGAAATTCTGAATTCTGTCCTCATAAGATGACTAAAACGACCAAAGCTGGTTGGCAAAGGATGATACCAAACTCATATATTAAAATCTTTCAATCTTGGAGCTATAGGCTGCAATACGTTGGGATTGGTGAACTTCGCGACAGAGTTGGCTGGATTTACAGCGGCTAGAATCACATCTGCGCTGGTTTTATTGCAGTGCCTGGCTATCACTAGGCGCAAGGCGCTACATCGTTGGAACCGTCTCAACTCCCCGATGATGGCAGACTACCAAACCCAAGCCTGAGCTAAAGTTGAATCCCCATGACCACAGTTGTGTAAATCAAAACTTACTCAACGTTTTTTGGTCACAGTACACCATCCGGACTCGACTCTTCCGTGATATCAACCTGCCAGTATACCGAAGAAAACGCCGCACTTTTGAACTGTTCAGTTTAGTCAACTTCGGTAGGCAAAACTTTGGGCACTCCAGGATGTGAGATCTTATGCAGTTGACCTTTTTGATGCCGCCGTAAGCAACAGCCTGACTACTGGTTAGCAATAGCTTATTATGTGGGCGCGCCCGGAGTAGGATTTATGACCGGTATGATCAACCGGAGCGATCCAAGACATAAACCGCATCTCGAAATCTTTAGCTGTCCACACACAATTTGACGGTCACAGACCATCAGTTGGAAAGGCTGGTGTTTTTAAAAATGTCCTCTTGCCTAGACTATTGGACATGTAACACAGCTACAAATGTCAGAGCAACCAAGTGGACGAGAGACCATTTGATTTTGAGAGGACAAGGGTGGAGTTTCAATGAAACGAAGCCTCACATCGAATCAGTAAAAGCATTTTAGCCGAAGAGTAGATGTAAGCTGTTCACCTTTAAAATGAACACGAAATTAAGTCACAAGACAATTTAGACACACCTGGTAGTTCGTTTGACTACTTCACTGAGGGCCTTCTGCGAATTCCATGCCTTGGAACATGACAGCACATCTGTCATATGCTCCGACCGACCGTGACAGCCACAACTGTCTTGCCGCTTTTCGTGGTGCATTCTTAGTTCTCTTTGTCAGTGTATCGAAGCTGGATACCGAATTGATGGGATGCATATTGAAATGCAGCCAGTTGCAGTAGCAAGAACGTTGTATTGCTCCACCCTGTGTGCAGCTGTTCAAAATGTCACTGAAATGAGTCGATTCGGTGCACTTGCTACAAATCTGTGGTAGACATATAGTTGATGGTTACGCATTTCTTGGTGTGTTACTCACGGAAGACACTCTGGCAGCGTAATATTTTGGGAAGGCAATGCCCAAGTAGCCAACATTTGACAGGGTACTTAACGAACAAATTTAGCAGCAGAGGTAATCAAACTATCTGGATCCATGAATGTGGTTTTCGAGGGAGGGGAATACAGATAGATAAACCCCATTCTACACTATATCTATTAGATGTCTTGCAACGACATGAGCTCCAGTATAGAAAAGTTTCAGCCTAACAGCATATCGATAAATTGTACAGCGAACAGGAATTTGAACAATGGACTGAATTGTGTGATTGACACGTTTTGTTCTGCTTGAAACCCAGTAATTACGTGCTACAGAATGTGCGACATAAAATGCTTTAAAGGGAGCAGTAAGTCAAATGTGATATTATCAAATGTTATGATCTCGGTGGGAACATGCAACAACTTTCATATGCAACCCAATGGTGAATGACATATGAACCTATCTGGGCGAACAGTGCTCATTACTTAACGGAAACTAAGAGCAAACTATCCTCACGTTTTGTTACATACAAATCCAATGACAGTGTACACGAACTTGTCCGTGAACAAGGCCTTTCCATGTTGCCTCGATTGTGGTGATTATATTATTTTGTGGTATGCATTCGGCTCATTTTAGTCGGGCGATGAATAGCTTCCCGTTATCCATGCAGTCCCCTTTGCCTTCAAGCAAAATCAGGCCTCTTTCACAACATCATTCACAAATTTTGGATTATCTCAAGAACGCATAGACCACTTGGTTTGTTTGCACGTTATAATCTGGAAAAAACCGTTCTGATGTAAGTTGCCTAATCTACAAAGGTGTTAGTGCCCTTAAAAAACGGTGTGTTCACATCACTTTCGCGCTAAATTTTGGAGTCGGTCTTTTGCTTGCGTCGTCTTGTTTTATCATCCCTAGTTTTCGCCTCGGCTGCACTGATCGTACCCATTTAGCTATTACTTCAGGGACTCTGCTAAACAACAGTAGCTGGAGTTCCTAACTATCCTGGCACAGTGGTGCTTATGGTCGGTAGGTGAAGGGAGACAAAACTCGTTCATCACAATTCAACTCGCAAGAAGAACCAAGAAACACTGTAGAGCTATAGTCTTGTTGGAAGGGAGCATCACGAGCGCACAACCAATAAATTTCCTTAAGAGGATTTGAAACCACACGGCTTTCCTGATAGAATCTCGAGCAGTCTGCCCATAGGCTAGCTACCTAGGTGACTAACCAGCAACGTTGTGCTACACTTGCATTTGTTGTTGTTGTTGTTTTTGTTGCGCTAGCTATAGCACCCTAAAGTTTCCTTGCACTTACAGAATAGCAACGTAGGTTAGAGGCACAAGGGGCATTCGAGCGATCAGCTGCGTACATAAACTAAAGTCTATCTATCTTTCACCAATCGTGTTTCTACTGAAGTGGCCAGATTCTGATGACCACATGATGCCTACGTCCTGAAGACGGTAACCTCAAACTCGTATGAGACAGATTTGGTCTCCATCTTGAGAACAATGAGAACGAATTGTACCTTCATGGAGTTAGGAAGTCCTGATAGGTTCAACAGAAAATCTTGATGGGATTATTAATAGAAGAATTGCATTCTAAAGGTAACTCGATGTGGGGACGGGGATGCAGAGCTTCAGGCTGCACTCCAGATTTTGATCATCACTTTGGATACCCTCATTCAACATTCAGTCACTTTGCTTCCCTTGGTGACATGCGGCAAGATTCTAGTCTGGTTACTTTTGGATGCTCTTTAAAAGATGAAGTCCTTCACACACGTCCAAACATGGAAAAGATGCAGATAGAGCTACAAGCAATTCATCTTTCTTTTTGCCATTACTGAATTGTCGGGGCTGAGTCCCCCCCGGAAAAAAACATTTTTGGCTGGCTTTTTCGGCTACTTGTGCCAGTTAAGCCCCCTGAAGAAGTTAACTCCCAGAGAGAGTAACTTATGTTTGTTTCCTGAAGATGGCCTGTAGAATTTCAACATGGCTTCAGTGGAACTGAACCCAGAACATGGGATCAATAACCATCTGAAGTTTTTTAGCATCTATGACATTAGGAAAACTGTCATTTGTCAATTTTATTACTGTAGATTGCTCGCTGGTGAAGAGACCGAAGAGCCAGAGGATGGTAAGAGAGGAAAAAAGAAGAAGAGGTAAGCCAAGTAACTTTGTTGTTTACTTACGGTATCCGGAGAGTATGCTTGTGAAAACATTTTGCCTTGCAACAACCCTATCTGAATTAGCCACAATCCACGTCCTACCGGTGGCAAGACTGTGTACGTCAGTTAGTGCTTTTGATGGGCGTAAGGTCTTGTGATATTTGGATAATGTGGGAAAGTGTAAATCTTATTTTTTGACCGGGCTCTATTTGATCCCGTCCAGTCTGTATGATTACTGTGTGTAACACAAATGGACTTCATTTGCGCGCTGACACACAGTTGATTTCATTCCAAACTGCTCAGTATGTTCAAGCTTAGAAAAGTAAAAATGGTTGTGTTCACTGTTCCACAGCTCTAAACTTCATATGTTTTAGTGAGAAATTAAATCTACCTAGAAGGGAATCAAGATACGATGAAATCTCCATGGCCAGTTAAGGCGATGTGGAACAACAGGTCATGCCGAAAATTGCCCATATATTTACGAATCTACCTAGATCTGACAGACGTGGCACAGGTACGGTCTGGTATAAGAGTGTCTTACCAATGGGATTTGTGTTGGTCCGTTTCCTCAGAAACACGGGAGTGAATTCACATTCACTTTTTTGCGGAATAGCAGATGTGGTGTTCACTCATGGATATTAAGCTCTCCCTAATCTGTCTTGATAGGAATTTGAGGGTGCTATCGGGGGCGTGCAATTTGCTACATTTCATGATACAGTTTAAGCACGTCCTGGGATATAATGTCTTCACACGGAGGCTTCTTTAGACCTTATCAAAGGATTTTAATATTGTTTTTCCTTCTAACCGAACTGGGTGGTTGGATGAGCGGTGATGAGCAGCTCGGTGAACTTCTCACGGAGTGCTGCAGTCCTAGGCTAGTAGCTATGGGGTCTCTTCACACTGACGGTGGCCGGTGCACTCTTGCGTGCAGCTTTGATTACAAGCTGCTTCCCCGGGGACTAACCACCGATGCTCTTACCAGTCTGCTTGATGCGTGAGTGACATGGATCCGGTGGAACATTTGAAACAACATTGGTGAAGCCGAACCACCACACTGGTACATCTTGAGTAGAAGCTTGTCGTCTGTGAGTTAATTCCATTCATGGGACAAGCCAGCGTTAGTAGTCGGTGCATCTGTCATCTAGAAATCCTAGCTGAGCACATGTTACAGTGAAATTAACCATATTTTTAAACTAGCCAATGAGAAAGATCAGAGAGAATAGGACTGATGGAAACTCCATCTAAAATAATTTGATGTGATTGGCCTACCTATAGATTGGCTTGTATACATCCATGTATACTTGGGATTTATCAATAAATATAATTGTGTGGTGAGATGATTAATCATTTTGCTCATCAGACAACCTCTAGCTAGTCCTTTCAGCTATCGCCCAAGAATAGCGTATCTTTATCCAATTATTTTCTCTGCGAGTTGTCCAAATTTGAACTGGAAGTTCGTAAGGGAGACTACTTACAAGGTTGCTGGAAACTCCTCGGCAGCACACGACCGGTTTCGTCGTTCTTGGGGTTCAGATACAGTCCACGAATTTCCGTCAACCTTATGTTCTAAGTGAACCAAAACTGAACAGATTTCGAGAAATGCACTCAGCTGCGTATCAATTTGGTTCTCACTGAAGACTCAACTGAATCTTTATTGAACTTAATGGTCTGCAGAAGGGCTGCCTCATGTTTCGAAGTTAAAGAGATCTCAACAAACTTGTGAGTAGTTTCCTTAATGAAAATATACTGCAATATTTCAAATATCGTACCAACTGGAAAATGAGACGGCCTTTGTCAGATCATTCAGTTGAGGAATATCGAAGATCCTGCCTTATCTTTCGTGAAAAGCAAGTCGATATGCAGATGAAATTATTTGTTGAACCATGACTTCTTGTAACCGACCGAACTATGGCTACAAAAGTGTCTGTTGAAACTATTCTTCTATTCAAGCCTTAGTTAATATAATCATCACGCACTGCAACTTAAAAACACCCGTGGGGAATAGCGCTTCGTCTCTCACAAACGGCTTCAAAAAAATCTCAGATCCCCCAGTCAAATCTCTTAGACCAGAACGAGTACAATCTTAGCGGAATCGCCTTGTTAACTTTGTTCACAATACCAAAGACACGGACCAGATAGGTAAAGCCCATCTGAGAGTTCTTCTCGTTTTCGCTTCACTGCTTCCGCTGATTTTGGACTGAAGAGTTGTAGATGAGAAACAATAGCCTCCCAGTTAATTGTGAATCACAGATGTCATGCATAACAATGAAAAACGCATTTCGCAATCTGGGGTGATTGCCTTTAGGGAGGCATCTTTTTATTAAGTTTCGAGGGGTCTTTCGCTCATTGGAAAGTATCGTATGACGAAAATTTTTGGGCTCGGCAAAATGATTTCTTTCGAGTAAGGTTGAACTGCGGTATCATTTCAATTCGTTCTAACTTAAAAGTTTTACGGTTGAAGGTCTCATTATGATCACCCTCTGAAACACTTGGTTCGGAAGATTTCTTGTTATATTACCTAAACACCACTTTAAACCGGATTCATACTTTCACAACCGTGATCACTTTTACGACACAAAGGTAGACAGTTTCTGTTATTTATTACGAAAGACCCAAGAAGTCGAGGAAGAAACATGGCGATGAGGACGAGGAAAAGTATGTCTCAAAATCAACCCTGGCCGATGAACTCAAAGAAGCAGCGGAAGAAGAACAGGTTGGTAAAGTTTTCTGAAGACTGTTATCCTGCTACATGAAGTAAACGTTTTGAGCAGTGTGTAATAGTCTGGTGAATTGGGACTGAGGGCGTCAGGCGAAGCCTGTAAAACTGGCTGACGTAAGATTTGCAGGTGGATCACGAATGTTGTCACTATGGTAGAAGGTGTCGCGTGACATCCAAGTTGAGTTGGTTACAGAGCCGGAGGGATTAGAAGTTAACCCTTAGGAATAAATTCGGATGCATATTATTCCAAGATGATTAAAATGAGCTACAGTTTTCTGAATTTGACGATGGAACAGTTAGATCCCACAAATTCACTTGTCTACACACGTGACACTGCTTACTTCAGGCGGTTGTGATCGAAGGACCCAGTCATTCATGATAGTATCTGTGCTCGATTATACTTCTCCGCTGACAAGCCATAGCGAAATACCGCCTACCACGAGCCGGAATCCAGGAACAGGTCACGGACAGTTTCATTCTGAAAGCATGAACAGACACCCGTTGCCTAACTTTAGTTTACCCTTCATGTATAATACATTTTATCACCTTTGTGAACCGTTAGCATGGTGGCGGATTTGTATGCTTTAAGCTTACGAAACAGATCCTCCTCACTGAGTAATTCCTGCGGAAAACGAATAATTATGAAGGTGTTGTCTAGACTTAACAAACTACTCATAAGGACCAGCATAGACGAGAGACTCATCTGGTTTTTGTAGAGTCTGCCATCTAAACTAAATTCATATACAAATGGGAGTAGTTGTCCAAATAAATACGGAAATGTTCTGAAAAGATTCCCTGTTTTAGCACTTTTGAAAGGCCGCCATGCGGAATTGGGCGGGCTTTGCCGAGATCAAATCTCATTGCTCCTAACTAACATCCTTGTCTGTCTTGTCATCAGAAATTACTTATGGAAAAAATGATGACGCACGGGAGCAAGATGAAGGAGGAACAGGAACGACAGAAAGAGAAGACTGCAGAAAAACTGAACGAAGCGCGAAGCAAGAAACATGGACAGGCCGAGGCTGTGGATTATCTGTTCGATAAGAAACAGGAACTGGACGAGTTGTAAGTTACGTACCTTGTAAAGACATGGTCGATCTGCAGACCTATTGTCACAAATATTGTTGGGAAGTACATAGAGGGAAAAAGCAAAGATCCCAGAGTTCGTCAATAACGTCTTTAAAATTGAAGTGCGTCAATCACTTGACTTTTAGCTTGATTCCGGAATGCCGGAGACCTTTGTATGGTGTGCGAGTTAATGGAACAATTCATGACTCCATCCACAATAATTATGACTATCATGGATTAATCATCACATCACCTTTAATCTCAGTGACTTGGCATCGGTTGCCAGGTAACCATGCAGATAAGGAAATAGGCTGCTCATTGTGGAAGGATAATCCTCTACGTGTTTCGTCCTCATTGAATTCCATCAAGTGGGTGCAGGAGGTGCGAGCGTGCGGCCGTTTTCTTTGCAGTTTTCACCATGTTCCTTAACCACGCGTTTACGCATGTTGATTATGAGTCGGTCAAAACGATGAAATTCGCCATTTTGGATATAGGTACTCAAGTTCATTCACGTTACTGTTGTTCCGTAGTTCCGGTGGAATCCATGCAAACCTTTCGAACCGTCTGAGAACACTATTGTCCAGCGAAATCAGACAGTGGATTCCCTAGATCACTTGCAGTTTAAAATTTCACAGGCAGTAATTGGGAGTCCCTTTTTTAGTTGGCAATACGTAAAGAACAGGTGGAGATTTGTGAGTTACCCTAATGAGTGATTCTCGGAGATATTGCTCGAGATATTTCTAAAGATTGAATTCCACATGAGGAGAATAATGGAAGAGGTTGAAATGAACTGCCACAGCAAAAAATAGTAAAGCAAGGCATCAGAAGAATGCACTAATTAGTAATACTGGTTTTGTGATCATCGGGCGAGAAGAAATGACTCAAAAGGTGCGTAATTTGTGACACTTGCAGAGTAACCACGTTTGTTTAAACCCGTCGTCCACGAGCGATTGAAATTATCATTCGGTATCATTTACAATTTAGCATAATGGTCACGCAGACGTGGAGTTTCACCAGATGAAGGTACAGAGTTACAGTTCTACATGGAGCCACTTTCTAACATATCCTATCCTTAGCAAAATGCACTCATTTGCAACCAAATTTGTTTTTTGCGAGACACTTTGAACCCAGCTGATTTCGTGCAATTCTGTTTGAAGTAGAACATAACAGTGACGGAAATTCGATAACTGTGTCTGATGAGCCCCAAGAAGAGCGAAACCAATCGTGGGCTGTCGAGGAATTTTCAGTAGCCCTATGAGTAGTGCATTACGTATATCTTATCTCTATTATTGTTATGGGGATCAAACTTTTACTTCACTGAATTGTTTGTCGACGGTGCGTTCATTTCATGATAACCAATGTGGTCGCGATACATAAGCGAATCGTACATTGTACACAACACCTGCATTTCACGGTCACCGCATAGTCTGTCCAAGACTCGGTCGTGCTGCAGAAGCTAGGCAGGAAAATCTACCCACTTCCAGTAGATTGTTCTAGCATGTCCCCGCATGTCTCGGGGACTCAATTTGCCTCCAGTTTACCACTAAGTCGTCCTGATTTTGTGAGCAGCAACCTCAAGCGAAAATAATGTCGTTCTTTAATGATCTGTCGGATTCATTTACATCATCTGGGGCCATTTGGAATGCGAAAGATAAGGCCCACTTTAGTGCGACCACTGGTAACTCTGGAAGTTTTAATCCGGCCTCTCTGCTTCTTCACCTTATCAACTAAAAATGGCAGGTCAAGGTGTTACAACTTATCTGGACACGTTAGCGACCTAATTTCTTCCACTCTGTCAGCTGTAAACACTTACCAGTGAGAGGAAGAAGGCCTTAATTGCAGAGTTATTTATTAGAAAATTGGGAGCAAAACTCTCATATGCATCTTGTTTACAAAAACTGAATATCCACCTTCTCTTTGAATGCGTCATTCTGAACTTTCCTGGACATCCATTGACTTTTTCTCAAATCCAAGCAAATGCTACAAAGCGACTCCACAAATTATGCAATAGATCTATCTTTTCAAGAGTCGCAAAGCGAATTTACAAGAATAAAACATACTATTCGCATGGTTCCCCCATCAGTAGTATCACCGTCACACCAGGGCATGTCTGGCCGGACCAAACAAAATTGCTGACGCTCTAAAGTTGCAACTAATTTCCGCAAGATAGAGCAAGATTGGCTTCAGCTGATCAGTCGAAACTTAATGTTCCTTTCAAAATACGGGAGGCACAACTGAATTAATGGTGGTCTTTTTTCAACTGGATGTGTTTTAATTGGTAAGATATTCGGGATATCTCGGTTTAGTTTTATGGGGTAATACCAGTCAAAAGGTTGCTGAAAACTCTTTGAGAACCTACAAGCGATCTCTTCCTTCTTGAGGCTCACCAGGTAGACGCAGTCCCCGAGTTTTCATCAACCTCATGTTTTACTCGCAGATATTCAATCGGCCTTATGTACAGCCCGTCCCGTCAGGAAACTACACTGTGATACCCTGGATATCACACTAAGTGGAACGCGAGACAGTTTTTATGCAGCACATTCATTTTTGGGATAGAAAACAAGAGATCTAGCTGGAATTCACTTGCGTTTCCCCTTCAAACGAAACTGGTGTACAAATGAGTGTATTTCGAGAATTTCGTACAATTTGGGTTCAAATAGAACATAAGGTTGACTGAAATTCTTCCGATCGATCTGATGATTCTCAAGTAGGACAAAACCAGTCGTTAGATATGCAAGAGTTCTCAGCAACCTTATGGGTAGTGTATCACGTCTATACAATGTATTGCGATATCTCGAATATCGTACCAACTAGTCTGGCTCACCACATTCAGTTAAAAAAAACACTATAAACAAGAGATTGGACTGGTTTTCAGATGAGTCTCCCGTGAAAACTAAATTGGTATGCAGGTGAATGCGTTCGTCGAATCTTACAGTCCAGTTAAGAAAATTAATATTCGGTCGGATTTTCGTCGATAATTTTGAGTGCTGGGTACTTCCAACTACAGGCGTTGATTATTCTTCGGAGTTAGAAAATCGCATTTGAAGTTGTCTGAGGAACGGAAAATGATACGTCCAAGTTAATCACTGAAGTGTGCTGCGGTTGAACCAAGTAGCCCCTAGAGGTCGCAATCGATAAGTGTGTTTGTATGCTGTTTGTAAGTGCTTGTAGTCTTAAGGCGAACTTTGCACCGATGCTACAAAGCAAGTTGCTAGCTCAACGCGACGCCACGGCTGTACGAGACGACCACTGACAGCCCTCAATCATTCGGTTGTAGGATTGAATCGGGGCTTGGTGATTGTCTAGCTGTACGCGCCCACTGTTACATCAGCAGTTCAGCACGACAGCTCAGCCACTTTTCTGATTTCCTCACTAAGTTGCCTCATAATACTGTTGTAACTGTAGGATAAGTGAGGTGAATACATGAATTTTACTTACCTACCAAACCCAGAAACCCGAGGTGAGGTCGACATCCAGTGCTTCTCATGTGATCATGCTTCTGTCAAACACAGGTGCGTACGTCTGCGAAAATTTGGTGCGCGAATAGGATGATCTTAAAACAGGGCGAAATCTTCGGATACTGAAGATGGGCCAGAACCACGTACAATTAACAATACAGTACGATAAGTTGAGCCCCAAATGAGTAATTTTTTCACACAAAAAAACAACCCAATGAGCCCTAATGAAGAGGGAACACGCGGCACCAAATTTGGATGGCGGCGAAAAAAATAAGATCACTAGAAAGTCGGTTGTGAGGGAGTAATGAGGCGCATAGTTCACATAAAAAACCAAGCTTTCTCAGGTTAGGATGGACCATAGGAATGAGCAATGAAGCCTTTTGTTACGGAATGCATTTGAGGGATACTCCCGAGAATGATAATCATTCAACTATTCAAGTTTCTTCCAGCAATCCTCAAGTCATTGACTGCGAAGCTTTGGCAGTGCAAATATTCAGACGTTTTCAATGTGCATTTTATAACCAATGTTATTCTGTGCTCACTACTTGTGCAGGCAACAACAGGACAAGTCAAGACAGGAACAAGCGGTCAAAGAAAGGCTGGAGAAACGAAAGCAGAACAGACATCGGGAAAGAAATCCCAGGTAAGCTAGTGAAAGGCTTTGTGAAAGTGTCCCTTGCGGTCAGCAACAAGGCTATTTCGCTGCGCCACGCTCCTACATTCAGTGTAGACTAAAGTCTTGCGCCCAACGAAATCAACATGCCATAGGACTTACCATTCAACTTAAAACTAAAAATAATCGATAAAACCAGATTGTAACCTCCATGTATGAATTAAAAAACCAGTATGTAAAAACAGTTGAAGATGGTTATATTCATTTTCACTTGAGAAGACTCCGTGTAATTCGGAACACTGATGGTGTCCCCAAGATTGGTGTCTGCAAGCAGATTGCCACGCTCGCCGAGCGCATCAGCAGCCACTTGATCAATACTGATTGGTCCTGCGGGTAGCATTTTTGGAGGGAGCAACTCTTTCTCTTGCTTTTTATTCTGAATGGAGATGAACGTCTGCCCAAAGCGCTGAACTGTCTGGAGTCTTCCGTACAACGAAAGAGTTCTGATCGAATTCGGGTTCATGTTGCCGAAGGATTTTCGTTGTACTACTCAGACTAAGGTAATTGGCTGCAATGAATCACAGATAGACACTCTTAAGATGGTCAACATGTATTTGTATGTGGCTGAATCGGGTCGCACGCAATTCCGCTAACTGGAGTGAATTCAAAATAATTCTTATTATTTTATTCCAGCTCAACTGACCTGGGCGATGTGGAAGAGGCGATAGAAGGCAGTCAGTCGGCTGATCCAATTCAAACGCAGGAGAAAATCGATGAAACTAATGGCTCGGAAGCGAAGGTTGGTAACTAGGGTTCACTCTAAAACAACGATTGGCGGGATCAGTCGAGGGCGGTTGCTTCAGAGGGTGGATTTTGGAAATGTTGTTGCAACCCCAAAGTGTCTGTTACTTTATTTTCGCACAGCTTTGGAAGGAATAATGTGGGCGGTGGCAGAGGAGCAGTTTGGCCCTAGTTGTTGAGGACCAAGTGTGGTCACTATAAAGGGGCGGTCGCTGAAGAAGTGCTTACTGTACAGGGTTTTCACTGTAAGTTTTTTTTAAATTTTATGTTTAAGCAGGACAAACAATAAAAGTTGTCCCTTCCACAGCGTGACCACTCCAGTAAGATGATAACTGAATTCGCCCTCAGATACGATTGGTGCTGATGAACCTTGGCTGTCAACCACCTGGTATATAAATGAGGTTGGACCAGACATTCATGTGGTCGTGAACTCTACATGTCTGGTTCGCCAAACGCCTTTTGCGATTTTGTTACTTCAGACAATGTACACAGCCCAGCGTGCGCTTCAACCCACTGTTCCAGCGCGGGCCACAATACGATGCGTCCGTCCACCTGTATACAGTTTGTCACATGGTAGCCAGAAATCAAGCCGTAACGGCGTAGAGTGAAACGTTGTCACCAAAAACACCGAACCTAACAGCCATATCGCTTGATCTTGGCTAATTCCGCTGCTGAATCAAGCTGATAGGTGTAATTAAATAGCTGTCATGCTGAACGCTGCATTTCTAGACCTCTATTTCTTACATTGTCTTGCATGATCATCCGTTCACGACACTCTGTGTGACCGTTACCTTGCTTTTCATTTTGACGGTTCGAAACATGCAAAGCCATTTGTTCTTTAGGTGCCCAACGTCAATAGCCTGACTCATTAGTTTAGCTTCGCCGTCTTTGCGACACCGATTGCAGCCCAAGACTGTTTGTCGATCTGTTGGAGTGAGTGGTCTAAGTGAGAAAGTGTTGTTGGGTGGAACTTATTTTGAAATGGAGTGGGTTCACACACTGCCTGGCTTATACCAGCAGCAGAGCTAACGACGACTTCTATATATTCTGGCTTTTCGATCTCGTTACTCAGACAACCAAACAATGAGAACGTCTAATAATTGTATTGGGTGATATCTTGCTCACACGTTAAGTGAATGGGCATTGTAAACTGGTTTGGTTAGATCGATTGAAGCCTAGTTTGGGCCTGCCAAGGTTGCCAATGTAAAAGTAAATGTTAGCTGGATGACAAGGTCACAGTAAACCTTCAATAAACTGGTCGCATGGAGTGCACAGTAATACAGTGACTCCAGCCTGTTCACGAATGCTCAAACCTCCTCCTTGTGCATCCCAGTGGCCGACGGCCTGTGTGATTTTTTGGTAAATAGTGTAGTTCGTGACCCATACAAAAAGCTCCTCTGGCAGGCTTCATTGGGTGAGTTACTTCACTCACCCTGGTCCTGAGATTGGGCATTTACCGGTGAAACAAGCTCGAATATTATTGACTAATTTACTTCGTGATGGACGGACGGACAGCATAGTCAAAAACAAAACTGGGAAGTAAATTTTGTGAAAAGAGTTTGGAACAGCTGAGGTGTACCCTAAGCGTTTGGCAAGCCTCAGTCTCCACCCCATGGAAAGTGAAGTAACGAGGATCCCCTAGAAACGCGCGGGGTTCTGCGTTACTTCTGAGATATTTAAAGTATATATTCAGCGGTAGTTAGACGATTGCCCGAATTAGTGGAAAGTTGCTTGAACTAGGAATAATACCTCAGATCGAATTCGCAGCTGCACAAACTGGTCAGCATGAAATGTTGTCCAAAGGTTACAGCCTGAAACTGGTAATTAAAAGACCACGTGTCCTCGCCTGATGACTTTCAGCCGAATATAAGACGCTACTGTGGTCGAAGGTTCTGGAATCTGACTACGCTTTTACGTGAAACATCGGGTAATGATCAGCGCCAGTGGAATCAATGGCCATTTGGACGAAATTTTACCTACTCTAATGAGAGCGAAACTCGAGTCCAGTGCTTCCCGTTTGGGGTACGCTACGAGAGGGATGTGAATTTAAGTAGCCTTTCCTAATGAATACAACAAACGTATCGGCAACATGACGAGAAAAGATGTCAGCTTTCTGAAGTAATTTTGTATTCTCCCCATGACCCACAGAAATATCCGCCGAAACCGGTTCGCGCAGGCTCCCGTTCACCACGCTGTCAGTTTGCAAGCAAAAATTCCTGTTAAAACAGAACTACACATAAAAGAAGTGAGGATTGGAATGAGCAGGGATATTCAGTTCAGTGGCATGCGTGCGTAGTATATAGATTGTTCATTCAAGTGGACCACTTCTGAAGAGGGAGGACGTCACATGATACCTTGTGCCTTCGAGCGACATTCAAATGTCCGATCATATCAACGAACACAAACTTTAAACTGTGTGACGGGTTCTCTTCTGGTTGGTTCACTGAGTTTGGGCTGGTTTTTGATTGGGCGTCGTAACAATAGGAAATATTGGTCGCAGTGGGCGAGATGGCCCAAGTGGTTAGGGCGCGAATTTACTGATCGAAAGGTGCGTGGTTCGAACCCGACCTCTGCCTCTCGACTTCCCCTGTCTAGGCTTGGGCAACCTGGCAGTGTCCCAGCCCTCGTGCTTCCTTTGGGTGGCATGACAGTTAGGCACCGAAAGGGTGCTACAGCTGAACGATTGGTCGCAGTCGAGTGTCGTGGTGAATTTCGGGTGACCTATACGGTCCAGGAAGTTGCGACTCACGGATGATTTGATTAACCGTAGCAAACCGTCTGTAAACATTCATGCAGTTCACGTGAAATTACTTGCTAGACTCTTGGTTTTATCACGCCCGTTGCCATCGGTAATGAGCTGGTTTCGGTCCCAAATAACCTCATTCATGTTTTGGATACAATCCTGAAAATTCATTTACACAGCTCCATAGCATTAATCTGTTCTTAGGATTACAGAGTCTTCATTTTTTCGAAATTTTGTATGAATTTTCCAGTAACGCACTGATGGGAAGTTTGATGGTCGCCAATAGGTGACACAAATCCGAATTACTAGATCAACAGTTTTAGCCTTGGGTCAACCAACAGTGTCAGACGATGTTGGAGTTAACTCACAGCGCTGCTCGTACAAATACCCGAACTCAGCATCAATATGGTAACATGGTACAGGAGAATGAAAGTCTTGGTGACCGAGTGCTGCAAAAGACTAGGGGACTTCCCACTAAATATTTCCAACCTTTACGAAGCAGCACTGATGATTTGCGCCTCCCGGAGAAAAGTTTCGTCAAATCAAGTGCAAAATAGAGTTAAAAACGCTTTCAGTTTAATGTAATGATACAGCCCTACTGGTTAAAAAATGGGTTCTAGCAGGCGTCGCTTAGGAGTCGATTGGGAAAGCATAAATTGATAGGTAGACATGCGAATGATGACTTAATAGTCCGAGTAACTTGCGAGAAGCTTTGGGTAATTTTGGTGGTGATTCGAATGTCACTTCGAGTCACATCGAACTCACGTTCCGAACACACCTTCCAAACAACAGCATAAGCCAAGCTGTGAAACTGCACGTTGGAAAGTGTCCCTCTAAAGTTCACTCGGATCTGTAAATGACATTGAGTAGGTAAGGCTGACGAGTTTGTCTAACCGGGTTTGAATGTTGGTACTAGACCCATAAATTTAGCCCAAGGAAGCATCCTGGGCGACCAATAAGCCTTGTTTCGGAAGTTGAACCTTGGAATAATTTATAATGTCGTAAGCATCAAAGCTGGTTATGACCGATAGAATTCACTGGACCAGGTAAGTCCATTGTCGTAAAAAAAGCCTCCCAAGGATTGGCTCAGCATTTACCGTGATTGTGTGAACACGTGTCCTTTTCTTGAGTGACTAATCTCCAGAATAGACCGCCTCTGATTGGTCTCTTCAGACGGTACATCCACAGGGAGTCAGCTGTTTTTTTTTATTGTGAATTAAGTAATACATTCTGTCCCTTTACAGGAACAAAAGACGCGCAGGAAGAAACGACAAAAGCAAGCAGAAGAAACGGGAGAAATCATGGATACAAATGTATGAGGCCATAATTTGTAGTCATGTGACCATTCGCTCATTCCTTTTGCCTACTCACGTCACTGACCCAACTGACTAACGAAACTGCTAAACTGTTAACCCTGAGTGCTTCAATATCACACCACCCATTTATTTTTGATCAAATGTGAGGTCGTAAATAAATCCTAAGGAATGCTGGTTAATTTTTCTACATTCATGATCGAACCCCCACTCTCGAAATGTATCTTTTTGTAGATAGACTGGTCCGCCTGTGCATTTGTGGCGAAAAACACTCGAAAAAATGCAGTTAATCGTCTTGTACGATACAAAGTTTCGACCGCTGGGGAATTTTTTTTCAGCGAACAAACGACCAACAACTTCCAAACTTAGCCTAAGAAACTTTGCTGTTTTCTCATACAATGGCCATCCTCATTGGTTTGCCCATCTCTTGTTGAGTTTCGTGATCAGAAGTGGTTTTCACAATGTCAGTGTACTATAAATAACCAACAGTAATGACCTTCAAAATCACATGCACTCATGCTGTTGTGCTAGGCAGAATCTGTCGTATGCTGCCCCACCTCCCACACAGACTGGCCATCGTGGTGGAAAAGTATTTTTGCGCTTTAGGGATGGGGGATATTGACTTATGGTTTGTAGTGCTCTAGTTGTAACCAAATGAAATTAATTATCAGGTGACAAGTACTAACAAAGTACTTTTTTAGAATGTTGATGATTGCAATATCTAGGTGCATCTTAATGAAATAAATGTATTGCGAATAGTGGAATAAGTCAAAAGGTTCGGTCACAGGGCGTGTCTTCATTGCAGCTGCTACACTTGTTCTGTAGTCGCCCATGGACTCGTGGAGTTTCCCTGTCCTCTGGGCGCGTATCCTTGGCTGAGTTGCGGGCCTAGTTATTGTTTGCAATGTGAGGACAGGTGTCCAATTACACAAACTAGAAAGCAACTTGACCTGATGGGGCTGAGGTTCGTAGGCTGTAACGGATAAATGTATTGCGAATAGTGGAATAAGTCAAAAGGTTCGGTCACAGGGCGTGTCTTCATTGCAGCTGCTACACTTGTTCTGTAGTCGCCCATGGACTCGTGGAGTTTCCCTGTCCTCTGGGCGCGTATCCTTGGCTGAGTTGCGGGCCTAGTTATTGTTTGCAATGTGAAGACAGGTGTCCACTTACACAAACTAGAAAGCAACTTGACCTGATGTGGCTGAAGTTCGTAGGCCTGTCACGTGATGCAGGTGGTAGTCGTGTAGACAAAATAGATGGGAAATGGCAGTGTACATGCTGTCGGTCAACGTTGCAAGTGGGACAGGATTTTGTTACGTGATTCGGGTGTTTGTGACGCGTGGTCCAGTGAGTACAGTTGTACTACTAGAAGTTGGTTGAAGGAACAAGGAACTGACCACAACAGGCTTAGCAGTAAGTGGTGGATGGGCACAGACACGCTCGACTGCTTTACGATATCGATGGTAGTAAACACCAAAACTAAGAATTGTAAGTGCTTTGGCGACCTTCCCACATCGCCCATGCTTCTGACCGTATTTAACCTCCATTTTTGAAGGATCTTTTTAGAAAAAACTGAAATGCTTCCAGATGGGTTACGACCGAGCACTGAAATGAATTAAATCTAATGCGAATAGGGGGAGTGAGTTACATGCTAAACAACCCGTAAAAGCTCAGATGAAGCTTCGCTGAATACATCCCAACGGGACATATATTATACTTTGTTGTAGCTTTTTGGATGTACCCTATGGTGTCACATAGTGATGATGAACTATCATTTCATTCGTTTACTTCTCAAGCGCGCACGATACTACAAGGGCTGCTGCTTACCCCATCTCAACATTCTAAGATTTGACAAGAGCCTGCCAGAGTTCACTCAGTGGCTAACCACACACGAACTTTTATGGGTAACGGTTCTCTCGGTGACTTATTGTTGCCGCTTCCTCTTATTTCGTATCACTTGACAGGCCTGTTTACAGTGTTGAGAAAATTGGCATCATTGTGTTCGAAAACAACCAGTGGTCAACTAGGCCACTGGGAATTATCGGCAACCCAAGAGAGCATCACTAGTTCGTTAACCACAAAGCACGGTGCACCACTGGGTTCCTGTGCTATGTAAATACTACATTTAGTCCAGAAAGTTGGTCTTTTTTCTGAAGAATGCCCCTGCAAGCAACCGAAAAGCCGCACTGTGCACGCTTCTGGATAGCCCGAATGACAATAGGTTATTCAGTGGCAAACACTTCACTGTGTGCGTTGGAATGTGACGCTGCACCCACATCTCTACAAGCCCATGAATGAAGTCAGCCAGCTGCATCAAGCCCAGCGTAGCAAGACCTGCTAAAATTCAGCCGAACGTTCCCTGGATTGCAGGACAGCTGCGTGGAGTCTTGGGAAAACCGAACAATGCTCTACTCATCTGCTGCTGGTTGAGTAGATGACACGCACAAGCAACACCACCGATGCGTCTGGAAGTGCTGCAAAACAGAGTTAATGCCTCCATAGCCATGTCCGGGGCTGATGAGAATGAAGGGACCGATGTACGGTTGATTTAGAATACGGGATCACCAGAAACTGGTGCAGTGGATCTCATACGGTGGTTTGACTGGTTACAGACCAAGCAGAAATAATCTCGCGATTCAACAGAACTGTGCAAACAAAGCTCCTGAGTTGCTTTCCATCATTTGCGAACGTTGCATGAACTAGCAAATCAATGAAGCATTGTGCAATGTAGGTCTGTTTCAATAAAACCGAGGCTGTGCCCCCTATGCAACCCACCATTGTGTAGCTCCAATCACTGGTGTGTACATATTTACATCGACATCTCAAAAGCCTTAAGTTACTTTCTTATGCGTGGTTTTTGCATACTTCTATAGTGACACTTGATGCCATTGTGTTAAGTTCTGGTATGTCGTCTGCAAACACGGCTGTACTGAAACGCGGCGGAAAAAAGCGTATCGTGCTGTGCAAACTCCGCGTATTCCATGTATACAGCTCTCATAAGCTTTCGACGACAAGTGTGGAAAAGGCCTGCTCAGCGAAAATACGTGTACAGTGGTTGGTAGTGTGAGATTTGGAATTTTTGTGGAGATTTCTTCCTGAAAGTGAAGCCAATTTATGCTGAAAAGCCGAGAAGCACTGTACAGCTGTTTCATCTTTATTGGGAATCAGTAGCAGTGCGCATCTCACGAAACTCCGAAGAGTCTCGAACCCGCGACCTCCCGACTAGTAGTTTGAACACAACCGCTCGACCACGAGTGGCTGATTAACTCGCACTTAGGCAGCCGTATTGAGTATGCAACACCTTCAGAAAGAATGTTTTGATCTAACACTTCTTGAGAGTGTGCTCTTTGTTATTTACATGTCGGCTTTCAGCTGTTACATTTATTTCTCCAGTAATCTGCGTTTCAGTCCAAGCGGATATTTCGACATATTAGGAGGGGAATTGTGTTACTGTTATCAGTTCATGTGTTTACTATCTAGGATAATACAGACTCACTGTAAGTTTGATGACCGTAATGGCAGCCAGAGACCTGTCAGACCACCTGGGCTCTGGTCAATGAATGATTGGTTAGGAATCGAACAAGTAATCCTAAACTATTAAAAGACTTGATTATTCAGTAGGTCGAAAATCAACCGACCCGAAAAAAAAACAGTTTACGTCTACCGTATATTTTACCCAAACAGTGCGTCATTGGTGCTGATTGGATCACGGAGTAAAATGCTCACACTAGAGCACAAACCATGTAATCAAACCAGGAAGTCAAAAACCAGTTGTGCGATTTAATTGGCACCTTTCCACATATTGTTGAAGAAAAGTTTTCTGAGACAAAATCTGCCATGAAAGCTGTGAGATTCGCAAACATAAAGTGACTCTATTGATCACACGCGAACAGATCGATATCGGTCGGATTCCTTCCTGGTCCAGCAATATAGATGTGAGGAATGTTTATGGGTACTAAAACAAAGCGAGTAAGCAGGCATTGACGATTAACAGGAATGGTGCAGTAATGAAAAATGTGACGAGAATACGAAAGCATAACATTTGGAAAGTTTTGAATCAATGTTCGAAGGAATTAGGAACACAGCCCAGTAGATTTTCGAAGATGGAATTCAGACCATCGTATGATGTCAAGGCACTCATTTCGGTGCAGTTATGGCTCTTCTACTAAGAACCAAACTTGAAGGTTCCCAGCCGGTTCGTTTGGTGGGTCGGGAATAACCCAAAAGTAGGGCTCCGTTTGGTAACGCAGTCCTATGGTTCTGAGAGAATCAGCAAAATTGAGAGATTCCTGCCGAAAAGTTTCCTGATTGTTTGGGCCTAGAAAGGGTCTGAAGTGGGAGAATGGAAGTAATAGAGGCAATGCACTACTTGTAACCCGAAAGCAGAGAGAAATATTTTAAAATCTTCAGAGGGCCACCTCACAACACATTTCCTATTCATCCACGGATTCATTCAGTAACGAGACAGGCTACTCGTCCAGCCGAAGTACTAGTACACCGCAAGTGAGATTGAATTGGCTTGTTGTGGGGAAGAAGCGCCCAAGTTGAGTTTTCATGTATTAAATGTATCCTCGTACTCACTTGAGCTCGCATTACTCTTCAGCCTATTAAGCTGAACCACTGAAATCGGGTGAATTTGCCCAACTACATCATTAGAAAAGCTGCAAAAATTATGAAAATGTCAAACCCTAAAAGTCATGTGTTACCGAACTTCATCCCAGCGTTTTTTGAGCATGAGCTGAGCGTTTGATTGACAAATCCAGGTAATGCAGTGGATTTCAGTGTTTCGAAGTTAGATAACCTCGTCTTACGCGATTCCTAACGGAAAACCTAATGTGACCCGACACAACCTATCACACAAGAATAGAGACCTTCACACATAATAGTTATTATGAACATACAATTGGATTACCTTTACATACTACAGAGGATGTACGTTCAAACCACGAGCTATCAACTAAAACTGCTAGAGTGGACGGGGAATTACAACCTTCTTTCATGAATAAAGGGAATCGGGGCAAGTGAAGAAGTACTATGGGGGCTACTAATAAAACGGCCTTCAACGATCCAAGGTATCCTCAGATTGTTTGGATGCAAAGTAACCGGATGAAATCACATGAAAAGCGGACAAATTATTCCCATAAGGCACGTTCCTATAGTTCAAGAATCAGGCTGCCGTACTGGGTGCCTGTATGACATTGTGACCAGTTGAAAAGTTAAAAAAAAACGCAGTGACCCGTGCCAAATCACAAAGAACAATGAGCGGTTAACCCGAAGGACAAGGAGGCAAACAGGATTTTTTAAAACAGAAAGTTAAAACATTTTGTGAGGTCACAGCCTTCCATATGGGGTAGTTATGACACTCGACGATGTTCAGGTAGCTACCGACCTCCTATCAAGAACCACGCTTCTCCGTCGGCGCATTTAATGAGTCACAATGAACCCAATAATATGGCCCCCGTACGTAACGCAATTCTCTGTTGTAAGCAAATCAGACAAGCTGTAGGTATCCTGCGGAAAAGTTTCTTCTGTGTTTTTGTCCAAATAGAGTCCAAAAGCGCAAAATAACGACAGCGGTTCACATAGCATAACTTTCAGGTCGCAAACAATCTTCGTAAATATTTGGGTGGGGGTGGGTGGGGAGATCGAACCCACACCACAAGACAGTACCCCCTCCAGCTGACAAGTTACATAATGCAACTGAATCGCTGTGCACGTCGACTGCAATGAATTTACACATCCGTAAAACGACTAATCTTCTAATACGACCAAAGTTGCCTACTTTGTCCAAGTTGAAGTGGAATAGTAATAATCCCTTTCTATCACTATTTTGATGAGCGAACAAACTTACTTAGTTTCGAAGGAAAGAACTCCGGCTCCCACGATTGTTACGTGCAACTTTACAGCGGTATTGGAGAGTGAATTATTAGGTGGGCGGCATGTCGCTCCTTATCGGGTGTAGATTTGATCTTCTCGAAATATTTACGGAAGTGGAGCGAGCAATGTGCTCTTTTGACTTCAGTCTTAAAAAAACAATTATCACAAGCTTCGTGAGTGACGTATTTCGCGTGACGCACCACGCATCAGAATCAGTTCAGTTCTGAACATGTTGAAAAAATCGTTCAGCTGTAAACCCTTCCGGTGCCTAGCTGCCATGCCACCCGAAGGGAGCACGAGGACTGGGATACTGCCAGGTTGCCCAAGCCTAGACAGAGGAATTCGAGAGGCAGATATTGGGTTCGATTCACAGACCTTCCGGTCTGTAAATTTGCACCCTAACGAATTGGGTCATGGAAAATAAGTTTTTTTTCGGAGAATCGGGTTCCGTACATAAGCATCAACATCAGTTAAGGTCAGGTGTTATTAACTTATGCAGATTCCACACAATCTAATTGCTCCGATCTCACGGGATAGAAGCAGTCGTGGTTGAGCCATGTGAAGAGCATCGGTTTTAACAACTGATAAACACGTTACACGGGGTGCGAAAGGAATGCACCTTTCATCCATTGAAGCGATCTGACAACGTCGTGCGTAGCTGACACATCCAGTCAGCAGAGCTATATCAGGCAAGCACTCGTCTCCTGAACAGCAGCATCACAAGCACTTGGCAAGGAACGCGTTTTTCATTAAAACGAAGCGGAGTAAGCGGTTGCATGCAGGTCGCATGTTGAGCCTACTGTTTTATGGTGTCTCAAAGGGGTCACGCGGGTTATTCTACTGATTTGTCGTAGGGTCATTTTTCACCGGACCAGCTTAGCAAAAGTCAATCCGCCACGGGATTGGTAAGTGCCGTCATCAGACTAATTTATCGCCAGGTCAATTGCTCACGATACGAACTATTGTTTAAATGTTCGGATCAGCGCATGACTGAGATAGCAATGAAAGCCCGATTCCCAACAGAAACAAAACTGTCAACTATAGCACTAACAATAACAACGGCGAAAAGTAAACGGAAAATACAGCACAAGTAATGAGCAAAAAACATGAAAGGCATTGAAATGCGGTAATCAAACACTTTCTACTTCCGCTTCACCGTTGATGTAACTTCGCTGTTCTATGACAACTGCTCTTCAGAGCAGAACTCAAGGGATCGATTCCCTGCGAAAAAGTACTGTCCTAAAGGAACTTAAACATTGGAAAATGATTAACAGACTGGTTTCTCCAGAGGAGTGGCTTTGTAGTAGCTTAAATGTCTTGGTTAAGAGTGCGACTCCAATCTTTTATGTAGTGATTTGACCAACTACTAGGCCGTGAAGTGAAGCGATGTTCTCCTAGGGATAAATCCCTGGTGGACAGCACTAGAACTACAGGAGCACATGAGGGACCTTCATCACTTGGTGCTGACCGTGAAGGCCAGACCGTAACACCAGAAGCGGGAAACGAAAATTTGCCTCATGTGAATTCACCCAGAAAAGAATCGAACCATAATTTTCTCGAACTTTGACGATTAGTTGGGCTTCCCACCCGAACATCAAGCTGAAAAAGGCCGCTGACTTTTGCTAAGATGAATTTCAGAAGTGATGTGTGATTCGGAAGCAAGGGGAGCACTCACTGGAAGATTGATCACTCTTTTTGAGAAAATTGATATGTGTTACCTACCCTAGAATAGCACAAACAGCCATTGCTGCGTCATTTTATTTTGCGCCGAAGTGTCTACTCGAGTCCGACCTCCTAAGTCTGCTACGGCGCATAAACAAAATAAACCAAGGGTTGGAAATTATGTGCTTTATATTTTCTGAGGTAGTCCACACTGTGGATCGGAATAGTCGAAAATAAAAAGATAGGCGTTCCTGTTGCCAAGTTCTGGTAAAATACAGTCATTATTTTCATGCTGTCATTTAGAGGATCTATAAGAATTCGACAATGACAGTTATGATATTTTCCCTTGATAAGAGACGGCATAAACGATGGACTCGTTCGAGTTCTAAGTAAAAAAATACCTCACTTTGAGAACTACATGAAAAACGTTTATTGCGTCCTCGTTTAGAAATTCTTTGACTGAAAGTTTCGGGTACTGGAAAATGCCTGTGATTTACAGATAACATGAAACATACGAAGGTTGCACGAACTCCAGGCATTGATGTGTTTGGCAGGTGTGCACAGTGGTCAGCATATTCATTACTAACAGTGGGCCGTTTGGACTAGCCGGGCTCGTTTACACACTCACTTTATACTCCGTTTCAGACAGTTTTGCTACTGCACAACCCAAATATTGGCCGAAGATCTCTCAGCCGGTACTGGTTTTATGACGCTCTAGCGGCCGTAACAACCTTATGGGTTCACTGAGGTAGGTGCGCATTCACGTTCTCGCTACCATAGTGAAAAGAAGTCCGGGTGGGGTTTGGGGGATGGTGTGATTAAGTTTGGTGCGTTTAGACACGTTCCTCACGGTCGCAGATCACATTCGTGGTCGGGGCCGCGGTGACAATGGTTAGTCGCTGACTGGGTTTGCTCCGACGACTCTGGTGCCGAATGTCAACGGCAGTCGAAATTCACCAGTGTGACTGGGTTGAGTCACATGCAGATAGGTAGATCGCTTCAGTTCGCAGTCGCTCTCCATAACGAAAGAATAGCCGGCGCTCCAATCGATTGAGCAGCGGTGGTCATACTGGAAGAATCGCCAGACCAATCTGTGGTGACGAGTTCCGGCACAAACAAGGTCACATGTATCCAGGTCTATCGTAATAGACAAAGTTAAAATTGTTCACTTTACTCCACGCAAATTGGCGTTTTCTCTACCTCGCGAACTTGTCGGTAAAATAGTATTTGTGAACACCACAACTACGACATAAATGTTCTGGGATGCCGAATATTTAAGTAGGTGAGTTGAGTGGAAGTTGTTTTGAGATCTAGCCCAAGGTTTGGTCTCTCTGGGAACCTAAAATTCAGTGAAAACTAAAGAGAAGCAGCCAGAATTAGACACACTTGAGTAGCACCTCCTGAGTGGGGTCCCACAGGAAGGCAGTATAATTTATCATATAACCGCCAATACCAGACGCTATGCATTTCCTAAAATTTCGGGTTCCTTTGGACAGTACTTACAAAATCGATCGGGAAAATGCTGTTCTGATGCAAATTTCTCAAAAGTGCATGAAACCAATAACCAACAACCGCATGAGCGAGTGGGAATGTGAGGACTAACCTGGCGTAGACATGGAGCTTCGGCCATTGGGAAAGTGTCAATTCATCGGTTCTTGGCTGTGGGACTTGCGTCCATTTGTTCGGTAACGCGGCAGCGAACGTGAGTTGAGACTCGCAGGCTGGCCCCTCACTAGGATCGATTTTGGTAACAATCGGACAGCCAAAAGGGAGTTTTCTATCTGTGAACAATGAATGAAGCGAATAATCTGTGTTTCAGGACAAGAAGGCCACAAAAATACACCGGCTTGTCTTCAGATAGACCGTTTCACTGCCATAAAAGATGCGCCCAGTGAAGTAAAAACCATGGTTTCACCAAAATTCAGTGGCCTATTTATAAAATGTTCGCAAGTTAAGCAGTCTCTGTAATTTTCAACCTCACGCCCGTCATCTGGAAAGAGATCATGGCTATTTCACAACTACAGTGGGAAAAGACAAAATTGTCATTTCAACTGCCGAGAGCAGATACTGACCGGGAACAACTCACTCTCAGAATTGTCTCCATCGAAATAGCGCATCATCAGATTTTCCGCTCCTACCCATCCATCTTGATAGCGCATTCCACTGAATGAGTAGGTTAACCAAATGCTCGAGTTGACATAACATTCTATGATATTCTGACAGATGCGGTGCAAATAACTCAATTACCTCACAGCCGAAGCAATTTACGATGTGTATGGCATCCTCTGGCATGGAGCGTGACAAAAACATTGTCCAATTCGCACGAGTTGCCGCAGATACAGTAAATAGGGAGTTTCACAAGTCCAGGATCGAAATTAGATGGCTGTGACAGCCATATTGTGACTGCAAAACATGAATGAAGCAAATGAACACAAATGAAGTATAAAGATGGCACTTCACCTGGAAATGGAAGGTGGTGTCAGTATAAAGAACCATGTGATACAAACGCGATTCAACAGATTAACAAGTGGAGCTCCATACGTTCCGACTGGTACGTTATTGAGTCATAAGTCGCTAGATGTAAACACTGCATTTGTTGTCAGACGTAAAACATACATGCCACATGTATGTTTTAGGTGGCAATTTAAAAAAGGGTGCCTGCTTAAAGGACGAATAACACGGCTGGAGACACTATGAAATATGGCCGCTAATCGATGGCAATTGCTGACAAGGTCAATTATCGTCATCTATCCAAATTGCCTGAATGAGTTTCCGGCAATACTCGAGATAATTGTGGTAGGCTAGACTTGGTCCATTTTCTATCTACTTTGCTCTTTTTATCATGATGAAACTTTCAAATAAATCGCAGTTATACGCCAGCGAAGCATCAATGTTAGACACGTGCTGTTGAAATTATCGTCATCTATCCAAATTGCCTGAATGAGTTTCCGGCAATACTCGAGATAATTGTGGTAGGCTAGACTTGGTCCATTTTCTATCTACTTTGCTCTTTTTATCATGATGAAACTTTCAAATAAATCGCAGTTATACGCCAGCGAAGCATCAATGTTAGACACTGATGTGCTGTTGAAGGCGATGGTGATGACACAGATGCCCAAAATCTGACACAGGTCACGCAGCATCACGCATTCTAATTTCGAACCGATCCATGTAATCAATTTGTGTCACTCTACCGTGAGATCCAGCAATGGAATACCGTCTTCATCTATGCGCGGAATTGCCAGTGTTTAACACCTATTGGAAAAGTATCCAGTAATAATGATAACGTAGTGGGGACCAAGGTCGATTTCGGACATCATACCAGCCATACCCGACGTTTAAACTTAATGGCCCGACACCGCGCTGACTAAACCCCAGTTTTCCCCAAATCACGCAATTGCACCCTAGCTTTGGATTGGTGGTTGACCAGCGATTGGTGGAAAAATATGAAGTGACTGTTTCACGGCAACTGCCGGCCTCTTAATGTATTCCATATTCGCTTGGCAGAACCCCGCTTGTACTGATTCGTTCTGCCTGTTCTTGGTACACTAGCGTCACACCGGTACTCTGAGCGACACCCTGATCCTTAATTTAGTCAACACAGCCTCACCCCATTTAGGATGATCTAACGAGTTGCTATCATCCCCAATGTTCATATTGAACTACGTTTTTTCTATCCATAAACTCCGTGCTACCGAAAACCTTTCTGTCTCACTTGGGCTCTAGTGATCTATTTCCATTCTTTCCGCATCCAAAGACCCTATCTGTAGCAGTAGCTGCTCCGGAAGCCCGGTTTGTCGCAACCCATCCGCAAGGACCTCCAACTGGACAGGAAATGTCTGTGATTATTTATCGGCCTGATTACTCCTGTGTTGATCTAATTAACCAGTCCAAAGAAACCTGGCTACAGAAATGTATATCATGTCTAAACAAGTCAGCAATGAGGTCCGTTACGAAGCTAGCCGGGAACCGGAGTATTACAGTGCAATGATGGTACGGCACCGCCACTGCCGTGAAGAGACTGGACCTTACCGGGGTGTGGCGGTTTGCGTACTTCGGCGATCCGTTGAGCTATATTAGGGGGTGTCCACGTGACACTCGTTCGTTCAACTGTAGCACCCTTTGGGTGCCTAACTGCCAAGCCACCAGAAGGTTGAACGAGGGCTGGGATACTGGCAGGTTGCTCAAGCCCATACGGGGAAATTCGACAGGCAGAGGTCGGGTTCGGACCACAGACTTTCCGGCCAGTAAATTCGCGCTCTAACCGACTGGGCCATCTTGCTCATATGTGGCGAGGTGTTCCGTAAAAATAGTAATGTAATTGCGTTTACAGCCCAATACCGCTGCCTTGCGGTTAGGCTTTTGAGCCAATGGCTTTGATTGAGGACCCTAATCGCCCTCCCGTCTGAGTATGGGTGCACTGGAAGCATCCCAGTCCACTTACAACCACGACGTTTACAAATAATAATACTCTTGTCTCACATCGAATGTTGCGCGACGCCATCAGCCGGGTCTCCTTACACACAGCATACAACAGGTTGCGTAAGCGGAAACATACTACTGTTGACGCCTCCCCTATTACACTTTCACATTCCCCATCTCGCAAACCCACCAAGATTTGAATAATTCCTCCGCAGGTTCGAAGACTAGGACCAACTGTTTTGCTCGCCCTGCATCGCACTCAGCCGCAGCTCTTGTACGTCCGAATTCAGTATCGACCCTAAACACTTCGAAGTCTGTTTCCAAACCCCGAAATACCGTCTACTTAGCCACCTTCAATGTTCGCAAGCAGGTCAACAGTGGCCATTGCTCGCAAGCTGGACTCCGTCTGCATTGATGTATATTGCCTGTCAATGATGCAAGGAACAAGTAATGTGATCGAACTGATTGCTCCCTCGTTCTCTCCCAGGTTCCGGCTGCGCACTTCTGGTGATATAGAGGCCGCTGAAGCTGAATATGCTGGGGTGGGTATTGTATTGGGCGACCGAGTGGAAGCGTCTGTGCATGACTGGATACCCGTTGATGGTCGCCCCTTTGCGGGTCGTTTGGCAACATCTGTGAAAGAAGTTAGAGAAAGTGGGATTCATTGCACCTTGTCTATTGCCTGCTTACGCCCCAACTGATTGTAGCTCTGAATCTGCCAAAGGGCTTCTATGACGCTCTAGGTGCCCTTTTACAACAGGCTATAAAAAAGACAATCGTTCAGCTGTAACACCTTTTCGGTGCCTAACTGCCGTGCCACCCGAGGGAAGCACGAGGGCTGGGATACTGCCAAGTTGCTCAAGCCTAGACGGGAAGCCGAGAGGCAGAGGTCGGGTTCGAACCACGGACCTTCCGGTTAGGAAGTTCGAGCTATAACCACTGAGCCAGCGGGCTAAAGGCTCAGATATCGTTGTGGTTGTTGGTGACATGAACGCCGAGGTAGGTAGTCTAAGCGGCCTAAACGGGTGGTCGTCTTGGATGGGACACGAGACGCACGGACAACAGGGAACGTTTACTTCAGATGTACGCCGATCGCAAACTGTTGGTTTGCAGTACTAACTTCCGGAACAGCGGAAATCACTTGAAAATGCGGTGCCCACCAAAGAAGGTAGTCTTGAAACTAAACAGACCACATCGCCGTCAGTTAGCGTGGCGAGGATCAAGCACCGCATGCTGCTTCTTCTGGAACACCAGCATGGAATCCGACCATGCACTTGTACTCTGCTACTTTTCATTGCGCACATTAGGTCTTCGCAAAACGCGCACACCTCGCCTAGTCATTGAGAAGCTAGTGGACACAGAAATCAAACGAAACTATCAGGACCAGCTCCTCAAACACTCACCGGACGGTCCGCTGTCGGATACAAACGGCCACTGGAAAAAGGTATTCAAAGCGCTACTCAAAGCCGAAGCTTTTGTTTGCGGTACAACCAAAACAACTTCATCAAACCATTGGATCTCTGACAGAACCGTATATTTGCTGGAGAACACGAGACGGATTCCTGCTGGCCGCAACCGCACCACCTGACGCATTACCCGATACCAGGTGAAAATGAGTATCCGGGCAGACCAACAAACTTGGTGGACCCGAAAAGCCGAAGAAGGAGGAAACGGTAAATAAGGCTGGCAAACTCCGTGAGCTGTCCCACTTGATTCGTTCGACTGACCCTCGGAAACCCCTTGTCAGCGAGATAATCCGGAGCTCAAATAGCTCCCTGATGTTCAGCAAGGTAGAATGTTTGGACTGCTGGGCACAGTACTTCGAACGGCAATTCAGCTAGCCACCTGTCACCTTCAATCTAGAATCCTGGCCTTCAACAGAAAGGTGACTATGGAGCCGCCTTAGGTCTCAGAAGTGTCCACTCAAGCGTCATCATGCTACTGGTACTGGCGACCTTCCACTTCCTCTTCTCAAGGATAGCGATGGGCTCCTCAGCCAGTGCTTGTCTAGTCTATTTGAATCTATTCGTAAGAAAGAGACCATCCCAAACAACTATGGTGAATCAATAGTAGTAGTAGTCCTCAAATGTAGTGAATACAGAGTTGTCAGTTTGACTCTAGTAGTGACAAGGCTTCCGGCGTCACTGATTCTTTGTCGTTAAACGGCGGCACGCAAAACCTTGACTCGTGGGAATCAAGCGGGATTTTGGACTAGGTGGAGGCTGCGTTGACACCTTCACACTCCGTCAGGTGTTAGAGCAACATCGACTGTACAGACGATCTACAATTTTAGTATTCCTTGACTTCAAAGAGCGTTCGATTTTGCCGATTGGCATTGTCCAAGTTAGCACCGGTGCAGAAATTTCTGCAGAATGTCTGCACCCGGATGCGGACATTTCCGCAAGACGTCTTGCTGATGCGGTTGTGCAACTCTGTATCTGTCCTTTGGCTTCCTGCTCTGCCCACTATAGTATATCAGAAGGTACGGTAGCTTCAGACGGTCTTTTATGGAGACAAAAGGTGAATTATTACAACCGTATTCATACGGTAATGACTGTCCCACAAGGTCGTGCTAGAATCTCCGTAGGGAGGCGAGAAGCGTCGAGTCAAAGATGCTCGATCCCGATTAGCTGACATTCCGACCAATCAGGGCATGCCTTCGTCCGAAACCTGCGCACGGCAAATCCGTCAAAATGATGTAGTGTTCGGTTATTAGGGGTCTGGGCTCTGAAGAATCGGTTAGTGCTATTAACTCCACTTGGTCAACAGGGTTTGTCCCAGACGTTTGTGAACATAAGCGGATGCCTAAATTCACACGCTTCTGGACGGATGAGAGTGTATGGTAAGCTCTCCAAAAACTTCCCTACAAGCTCACGAATCAGTGTGGCGCAACAGGAATCGAACAAATGACAGCGAATTTGACAAATGCGTTGAACAGAATTTCTTGGAAATATACCAATGGTGCTCACCACAATTAACGAACGTTGGACATTCAACGCTGGTGGTCGCACGCCTTACTGTTCCTAGTTAGTCCAAGTCCGCTGTGAACTTGTCAACAAGGTTTCTAAAATTACAGACTATGGGTCGGAAAAGCTTCCTCTTATTTCGTTTGACTAATCATCCCAGACGAATTCACTATGACCATTCCTGTCATTCAAGCTATCCACATATTTCATCAGCGTATACGCGAAATTGACGGTGCAGCGCGATCCTACAAAAAGTGGTATCTGACAAGGATGTCCACGCTCTCGATTCTTGTTCAACTTTATTGGCGATAAAATAATGAAGCGAACACTAAGGTGTTCTCAAAACACCGGTGTTCAAATGGTTGCTGGTGACAGCCTTATCGATCTGGAGTACGCAGACGACATCCGTCACATCTGTGAGGAACAAAGCGAAGCACAAGCCCTGCTAGAAAGACTGAACAACATCATACCACCCTCTGACATGCGGCTTGCACCTTCAAAGTGCAAAGTTATGCTTCAGAACATGCAGTCCCTGAACATACAGCTTACGTTTCAAGATGAACCACCGTGAATCGGGGGAAGTTTCACATACCTCGGTAGTTGTATTTGATCTGACGGAAAAGTCAGTACAAGAATCTCAAGGGCTCGAATCACGCTTGTTTATTTGCATCACCAATGCCGTCAGAAGGCAAATCATTAGATCTTAAGGGTTGCGAGTACAAGGTTGCCGTGAGGGCTGTGTGATGGATGGGTGC